AAAAATAGAAAAAAATATTATAAAATATTTATTATCATTTTTTAATAATAAAATTAATAATAAATTATGTAAAAATTCAGAAAGTAATAAAATATTACAAAATGAAATTTTTTATAATATATATTGAATTACAATGAAAACAATTAAATTTGAAGTAATCTGAAAACAATAAACCTGAAACAAAATACATTAAAATACTAGTTGTTGAATTTTGAAAGTTTACGTTATTATTAAAAAATTTAGTATTAAACTTTGAAGATTTTCAATAATGAAATAATACGTATCGAAATTTAACCATTAAATTTTGATTTCGAAGGGTTACAATATAATCAATAACCTTCAAAATCTAATGTTGTGATATAATTTCAAAGGTTTTTGAATTAATATAATTACTGATATTAGTATAGTACAGTATAAAATTCTAATTCTGCCCTTAATATTAAAATATTACATTTAGATAGATTCACATTTAAACTCAAATATCAAAGATTAGAGCTTATTTCTAAATTCAAATCCCATTTATTTATTTAATTCTATATTATATAACATTATAATTTATATAAATATATCTGTATTACATTATACCAGTCATGTTTTAGTAATAGGTGACTACTAGAAAAAAAAATACTTGTTAGTTTTACATATAAAAATTTTATTTATTTATTTTATATGTAAATTTCATTTTCCAAAAGTTAATTTCTCTAATTCATGCAAATTCATATTTGACCATTTTCTCAAATAATAAAAAGTCAAAAGATTTTTTCATTAATTAAAAAAGTTAAAAAATGAAAGCAAAATGATGTTCTTAAATATTTGCATTCCATAAAAAGTGAATTAGATCTTAAAGGTGAATACATTGATATTATTAGAGAACAAAAACTTTCAAGTAAGGGTTTTCTTGAGTTAACCAAAAAGAAAATTCTTGATCTTGAAGTAATCTTGGGATTCGTGAAAAGACTTGAAAACCTTATGCAAAAGATCTGTAACCAATTTAAACCATTTTGAATTATAAAACTAAGGAGGATGTTAAAAAAAATTAATATAATATAATACTGTACATGGAAATTTTCTTAATAGATAATTTAATAATTAATAAAGAGTGATAAATTATTAACAGTGAAATATTATTAATATTATTAAAAAAATAAGTTGATTTCAAATTTTTATTTATTTTTGATTTGATTCAGATTTCATCAAAAAAGAAAGAATTATAGATAAGTTGAGTAAACCTTCTTTCACATCACAAGGTTCTATTGTCCTATTATCATCATTTATAATAAATATATTATTTACATTTGCTAAAAAAAAATCATTATTAGTGAAAAAAGCAATGTTAATTAATTTTGAATGAATAAAAAAAAAAAATAGAAAGAAATGTATACAATAAGCAAGTCTTTTTTTTGAATACTTTAAAGTATTAATATTAAAACTACAAGACAGGAATAACCAAAATTAGCAGAATATAAAATATAATTACAATTTTTTTTTTATATTCTAAAGAAATAATTTAAAAGGATAATTGTTAAATTCCAAAAATTGCCTTCCCTTATAGTTATATAGAATACAATAATTTTACAAAAGTTCATAATTTTCTTCAGTAGAGACAGAATCACGATGAGTATGTAAACCATTATTATCCCCAACATGAAGTTCAATCATATCATCATCATCCTCTCCACCTTCTTCTCCACCTCCTTCTTCATGTGCAACCATTTCCTTTAGATCTTCAATATCATCTTCAACTTCTGTCTCAACAATAATAGACCCATCAAGTACCGACTTTTCACTTGACGATTCACTCAATGATTTAGTACTTGCCCAAGAATTGTGAATCGGGAAACTATTCAATATTGTTAAGATTGGATATTGTGAATTCATTTCCTATATAAAACAATGAGAATATACATATTTATTTAAAATAATCATAATTTTTTTTAAAAAAAAATTTATATCGAATGTTTTTTTATTATTATTTACCTTATCAAATCGTTCACAAAGATTATCAAAATCATTTGAATTTTGGCATAAAAATCCCAAAAGCATTGATGGATCCATTTCGGAAATATCCATAGCTCGAATTATGGTTGAATGATAATCCTTTTTTTTTTTTAAAAAAATATATATATATATATATATATATAGATAGATATATATGAAAATTCGCAGAAATAAATGGTGAAAGAAAAAAAAAATTAATTATTATTTATTTTTGCAATTACCTCGATGGGAAATTCCGTGACTTTATTGAGATTTATGGCGGGACGAACAAAATGAGGATCGAGATAATAAAGTTCATCATCTAAGTACAGAAAAAAAATAATTTATTTGGATAAAAATTAAAAATTTGTTGCATGTAATAAATAATATTAATATATTAAACAGACCTTGAACAGCCACAAAATACAATGATCTTCCGGGCCTTCCACCTGCAATTCCCAAGAATTGAGGAAAACTAAACAGTTTCTAAAAATAAATTAAAAACATTTACGAATATCAATCAAATAAAATCAATTAAAGAAAATTCGTAAATACTTTTGAATATAAAAAAAATAAATAAATAAATTTACCTTCAAATTTTCTGCATAACTTAGGTTAAATTTATCAGTGCCTAACCTAAATTAAGTTGAACAATATAAAATCATATCTTTTTGTTGATAAATTATATCTCATAAAAAATTCATGAAATTTTAATTTAGTACCTAACAGAAAATAATATAAGTACAGGTTTCCAGGGTCTCTGATCAATAAATAAACTATTTGATTCATATTCCCCTAATGCATAAGTGGCAATTTCACTTTTATATATCGTATTGTCAGTTGGAACATAAATCACCAATGGACATTCTTTATGATACAATGACAATCGTCTAAAGAAACAAATTAAAGGGAATTAAAAAAAAAAAGAAAAAGAGATTTCATTAATTAATTAATTACAATATTGATTAATTACAATGTTAAATAATTACAATATTAATAAATTCAATATTCAAATATTAATTTAATATTAACTCACTTTATTGCGTGAGCAACTGTAGCAGGTCCAAACCAATCTCCAATTCTTTTATCCAATGAAATTCCAGCACGAGCTATGTTGTGAATAGAATAGTAATGTTCTGGTTCTGGACCATCCATGAACCAACGCAAAATCTTTTTTTTTTATATATATAAAATATTTATAAGTATTTATAAACATATAAAATGAATAAATCTATTAGATGAATAATAATATATAAGGAATATAAGGAATATACCTTTCTGTAAATTAATAAATCAGAGTCGGTTTGAAAATTATGTAATCTCCAGTCTAAATAAATAAAACCAAATACATTATGCCAAGAAAAAATAAAAAAAATAATTAATTCAACATTTTATATATACCTCTTCCTAAAAGAACCCACAAAAATCCCTGTGCTAATAAACTTTGTCCAGTCCTATGCATGCAACCCCATCCTGTGTCGGTTGTATGAAATGCTGGTTCGATAGGTAAAAAATCTTTACGATAAGAACAATATATTCTTGATTGAAAATCCAAAACAAAATCCATCAATATTTTTTGATCCGGCGTTAACGTTCCAAGTGAATCCGGTCTATAAAGACTGGTAGGAGTTGGGGTTAATGATTTGAAAGAACTTGTTGACTTTACTGATCCTGTATCTGAGAATTTATTTGTAGATTGTGAACCATCCGAAATAATAATATCTTTATTAATATCAATGTCTTTTATTATTTCAAAATTTGAATGAATTGAATTGTCATTTTGTGTTGGAAGTGACCCTCGAGTTATAGTTTTCACTGATAAATTATCACCTGAAAGTATGTCAACTTCATTAATTATGTCACTAAGATCACTTTCTTCTTCTGAACTATAAGTTATATTCTCAGGATATGTAACTTCTATTTGTTTCCTTTGTAATCCATCTATACTAGTATTATTAAATCTTGGATCATCTATTGAATATTTTTGTTCATAATCTCCTTCTGCCTCCAAATGTGGATAAAGTCTTTGTGATGGTGGTGATGTTAACTTATTTTTATCTTTATAAAAAAGTCCCGTGAATGACATTCTACGTGTCCTTTTAGGTGATTTAGGTGCAAATCCTCCATGATTATTATTATTATTATAATTGGAAATGATAGGACTTGTGGGACTTGTAGGTTCATTCTCATGATTCGATACATTAATATTTTTTAAAATATTTTGTGCAATTGATAATCTTTGAATATTATAAGGTTGCAAATTATTATTTGTTTGAAATTCTGGATTCCTTATGTAAGTTGAAGATGACGATAAATCAGGTTTATCCTGTTTTCTATTAAATGAAAGAGAACGAATTCTTTTTCCATTCGAATAAATATGAGTCGTATTTAAATTTCCCATCATAACACTAGGTGGTGATGATTGAGAAGAAATTATTGATGATGATGGTGATAATTCTAATGGTGGAGATCTACGTGAGAATGATAATGACCTTAAACGTCTTATCACGGCGTTAGGTCCATTTGATGGTACATTTAAATTTAAATTTAATTTCCCTTTAGGATGTAAAATTCCTAATTGTGATGTTTCAATTATATTATGTGAATTCCCAACTTTTAAATATTCATCACTGTGACTTCGATTATGTGAAGGTACATCACAATAATCTTCCTCTTCTTCAGCGGATCCAAACATGAAATTTAATAAAGATGATGCTCGACCACCTCGAGAATCCTTATCTTGCTTCGGAAAACTTACTGATCCGGTATCCTCTAATTTGAAACAATATATGAATTATTATTATTATAATTATTATTATAATTAAAAGAGCGATTTTTTTTTTTCTGAAAATAATTTTTGAATTTTACCTATAAATTTATATTCTATTCCTAACATCCATATGGGATTGGTTGAATAAACATGTTTGACCCTAGATCTTTCATCTGATTTCATATATTGGATGAATCGTGTATTATAAAACCAATGTCTTTTTTTTTTGTAGAAATAAAAATAAAATATTTTTAATATTGTTTTTTATGGATAATGAATAAGTATAAATTTTATTGTATGTTTATTCGTTATGAGTACAAATAAAAAAAAAACGCTCACCCCATTTTTTGTAAAATCTCTGTTGAAGAATTCTTTTGAACATCAGTTTCATTAGAAATTTCTTCACAATTAATTTCTTCGGGTGGTGAGCTTGGTGTAAAAGTAGTTTGAGCGGTGGAAGAAGAATCTTCAGCAGGTAAAGAATCGACAGAGAAATCATCAACACTATCCCATTCCTCTTGTCCTGTTGCTGACATTGTTGGGGGTGACGATGGCGGAGTGTAAATTCTTATGATTGGCGTCGAAGTGAAATCAGAGTAGTGTATTGGAGGTGACGGAGGGGACATTATATATTCTGAATTTTTCAAAAGGTAAAGGAATTAAAAACAACGGTAGTAAAAGAAGTTTCCTTTTATATATTGTGAATGGAAAGTCAAAACTTGGTTTAAAATAGGAAAAGCTAAACTTGAACGACGACAACAACAACAACGTGTCTTCATATCTAACAACTATAATTAATTATTTGAAGGTCTTAAACACATATAGATAACGTACATACTTTTTAGTTGGCTTATGCTTTAGTTTATCAGGTTTTATGTCCGCTTTCACGTGATGCTTGCTTTTTGCTTTGAAAGGCGAAAACTTAAAGCTTTGAATTAAAAATTAATTAAGCTCAGTGATTGATTTTTTTATTTATTTATATGTAATTTATTATAATTCAGGTTAAAAATTCGTCTCTCATCAAGTCAGTTTTTTCTCACATGTCCAATGATGAAACAATTCAAAAAAATTAAATACTTAAAGCAAATATCATCTAGATTTAATGATCACATTGTTACATTGGCCACAAGTTTTTTGGGAGGCTTCAAAGTTTAATAAGTTTAAGTTTTAAACAAGAGGGCATCTGTTCTTTATTTCTATACTATACACTTTCTTTTTTCACTAAACTTTATTCAGTTACAATAAATCAATTATTTATTATGCGAATTCTACATGATGCTAAATCCACATTACGTAAAATAAATTGGAGATTTTTGCACAAAAAAAAAAAAAAGCAAAAATAAAAATAAATAAAACATAATAATTTTCTCATACTCTAATTTTGGTAGTTATTAATTAAATCATTATTAGTGTTCCAAAAAAAATAAAAAACATATTTTTATTTTTTTTTTTAATGCACTGGTCAAACAAAAAAAAACATCTCAGACTGGCAAGTTTATTTAAATCAACTGTTTATTTTTGTAGATTCTTGTCTATAAAAAAAAATCCAAAGAAACCAAATTCTAATTGGTTCATCATTCAATCATAATTTATTATTATTTTTTTTTTCCCTTATGATAATGATAATTATGAATTGAAAATTTTTACCCTGTAATGGTGAAACGGTTGTACAATAAATATTTATGTTACAGCAATAATAAAAATAAAATTGACATATTTAATTTTTATGTGTTATGCTTGATCAACATTGTAAGAAACACATTCACGCACATTATTTTTCTTGCGTAATAAATAATAATTCTAAAAAATCTAGTAAAACTGAAATTGAGATATTGAGGGACTGAATTAGTGCTGATAGTAAGGGCCAGAACCAAATATATATATATATATAAATGGCTAATTCCACCTCACGTGTATTTTATTATGACGTAATCACGGGGAAGTGTAGTTCTCATATGTACTGTAATTATGTAATTCTAAAAATCATGTGCAATTATCGACGATACATAAATTTCAAAAACAGCATGAAATGAACGTGATCCAAAGAATTATTCTCTCAATAATGATGTCATGTAGAACACGTATTTCCTTTTTGACGAGGTCTGCCTTCAACAATTTTCGGTACCTTTCGTACGCTCAACGTGAAGAGAGGAACGCTTTATTAAAAGAGGTATATACCTTTCATTTTATCTTGTGAAATCCGGGGGTTTTGAGAAATATAGTTACTTTTTTTTTTTTTCTTTTCTCGTAGATTTACACTCCTTCCTTTTCACAATTCGAGAAGGGATCAAAGGAATATTTGAATCTATGTAAGTCTGGGAAAGTTTGGGAAAATTATTTTCGTCCCTTCGAATCCAAATTTCGTGCTAAGGGTCATGATTATGGTAGGAATTTTATCATCATTTTTTTTATATTTTCATAACTTTCACTCGGAAATGACAAATTTGTTTTTTTTTGAGTTCAATAGAGTCAATAAAAGATTATGAAAGAAAATGTGATTTTTTAGAGGAGATGTCTATCATCAAAGATACTATCAACATTTCAACTAATGATCTTTTGCAACGTATGATCGTAAGTTTTTCGCATCAAAGTTGTGCTATAGAAGGGAATTCATTAGGAATTGAAGAATCGCAAACAATTTGGGAAAGAATGAATCAAGATTATAATATTGATGATTTGTTGAAAAATGAAGGTGCACAATTTCCGATTCCGGAGTCTCTTCTTGATAAACCTGAAAGTGAAATTGATATTATTGAAATTCGTAATCACCTGCTTTCAACCTATTTCTTATTTAATAATACTGAGCTCAAATCAAAAACAGAAATAAACATTGATAATATAAAAAAAATTCATTGTATTCTTTTAAGAGATATTCCGCAGGCAAATTTTAGTGTATGGGGTAAAATTCAAAAAGCAGGAAAGTTCCGAACAGTATCAATGCAGGCAATGGGTTATCATTTGACAATATATCCGGTATGTTTCCAGTATTATTATTTTCTTTGCATGCCAAGAATTCGATTATGAATTCTATTGTGTTCCATATAGTACGGAGAAGAAATACCTACGTTGATGGAAAAATTTGTACAATTTTACAATAAGAACGTCGTCATCAATAACGATCTTGATGATGAAAATTATAATAATCCTCTTATAAGCTCATGTCACATACTTTCGACTTTTCTTCATATTCATCCGTTCTATGATGGTAATGGACGTGTTGGTCGTTCACTCATGGCATTATATCTTTCACATGCTGGTTATCCACCTCCTGTTTTTCAACAACTTGATCGAAAAGTATATTTCGATGCATTATACAAAGCTCAGGCACAAAAGGATCCGATTCCGCTATATAACCTAATAATAGGAACAATCTATGATATTCTAGCATTACATTCATGTTTCCCTTTAAAATAGTACAAAGTTGATAGTCAATTTATTAATTATACAGTAAAAAATCGCAGTAAAGATTGATGAAATTTTATTGGTAAAAGTGCGACAAATATATTTCTAAAAATAGTGATTTATAATCATGGACTACCTAAATTAGCATCACATGATAAATAAAGTTGCGGAACGGGGGTACCCTTACGGTTAAGAGATTTGCCGGAGATTTTTTATAATTTGAATTGTTATTATCGGGTATAATTAAACATTCGATCCGAGAATTCAAACAGGTTCAATCGGAAAAAAAAAATAACGTTGAATTCCTCAGAGGAATTTTAATCTTTTATATTGACTGAAATTTACAAAGTTACAAAAGAAATCTGTAGTGTTACTATTACTGCAAATGATCAGGCCATTTTTAAAAATTTCCTTGATCAGATGCTCACGCTCACATGCTCACATAACATTACTAATCCATTTTTTTATATGTAGAATATATTTTTACTACGTAAGTCATTTTGCCCAAGGTTATCTTCTAAGTTACGTGACTAAGCAAAATCATGACCCTCTATTTTTAATATATTGTATATTGTAAGTGAATGCAAATGACAGTAATGACAAGATAAGAGACTTACAAAGTTCATGTTATTAAAAAGGTAATAAAACTTTTGTAAAATGAATCACGGTCAAATCATATCGTTATTATTATTGAAATTGTGTATTCAAAAAAAACACAATCAATGCAAGGCATCAAGAGAAGATAACTGTAGTCAAGAATTTTCGATATAGAAAACTTATATCCATAAGGATTTGATCCTATAACACCTTAGGAAATAAAAATCAACATGCGATTTCAAAAAAAAAAAGAAAAAGAAAAAAAAAGATTTCTTTTAGTGCCAAGAGTAAATTAAATTTAGAACATAACTTCAGCCTAAAACCATTATGTCATGTCATTAAAAAAAAAATTAACATTTTGAAATGTTGAACTAATCCCCCCGTTATTAATTAATACAATCAAACATGATGCAATGTAAAAATAAAATCTTTTCTAATTGTAGAATTGGGAGAAGTTTCGAATCATCTAAACCCTTTTGGAATCAGGGATATCACGAATATCACGAAAATCTTCCCTTAAAACTTCTACGTAGAATCATTTTAATCCCGTTATATATATATAAATATATTTATATTTATATGAATATCAACGTTTTATTCAAAATTCAAAGAACAAAAGATGATAAAATTAATGTTCGAACGATGACGATCAGTTGATCAAGTTTTACTAGTTTCCTTAAGTTTCTTTGTATAGGTGGTAAAAACAGGATTAAAAGAATCTATAAAAAGAATTTTATTGTTTATTTATTTAAAATACATTAATATATTTTAATATATTGCTATATTTAATATCTATGATAAAATTATTAAATTATGTTCCCTTCTTTTTTTTTTTTTTTTTTTTTACTTTATTTTAAAATTTCAAATATAGAATTTGTTATGAATAATGACAACGGCAATTACAATCCTAACCAAAGAATTAATTAATTAAAAAAAGAGATCCATTACCAAGAAATTGTTTCAAAAGATTAATTTTTTAATTACAGATTATAAATTTTTTTTTCCAGAAATAAACTAAATATGCAATAAATACATTTACTAATATTATATAAACATAGTAACCTGTGTTACGAATATAAATAGGATACTAGTTTTTGGTATTATATTGCAATAATGAAGTGAGCCTCATAATGCAAAATGCAAACATTTCATGCATAAATAATCTTTTTTGTAGAAATTATTCCGTAAAAAAAAAAATCTCTCGGCGCACAGAATTTTATTAATAAACTGGGTAAATAATTGGATTGAAGAATTTGAAATTTCCATTTTGGTTCATTGTTGAAAAAAAATTAAATTATAAACCACGTTATTATTTATTATTATTTGTTTTTATATCTGCACTAGGTTGTAATGCTTTTCTTAAAGCAAAATTTATTGTATATAAATATGTAATCTGTAAGTTTCTATTTTTAAATTTATATGTTTGTTTAATAAAGTTTATGCACGTATATATTCCTAATTTTTAAAATGGAATTTTTTTAAATTATTTGTTTATATTATCTTTTATATTATATATTTTATCTTTTATATTATATCTAGTAATTGTATATGCAATTGTATATGTAATTGGTAAAAAGTTATCTTGTGTGAAAGAGATTTCTTTTTTTTTTTAAAAAAAAAAAAAATAGGGAATTTTCTTCTTAGAACATTTTCGATGAATGCCAAGATAAAAAATGTGATTCTTTTTTTAGTAAAAATTTCAGAAATTTACAGCCACTTTTTCTCGCCACATTCCAGGAAAATTTTTCTTACGCATTACAATTTATAATTTATGAGATTTTATTTTATAATTAGTTTTTTGACAATTACTTGGAACAGGTCATATTGTCCGCAAAAAAAATTTTCTACTACGGATTTTATATTCTATTTTATTTCATTTTCAGATTTTATTTTCATCTTTTATTTTATATTTTCAATTAATCACGAGTTGAAACGCTATAATTAAATATACAGTATATATATATATATAATACCAATTTTGATTAATAGTTGAAATGTTCATTTTCATAAAAAATTGGTAAACAAAAGACGAATTATGTAATTATGTTTCGATGTAACAACAAAGTCAATAAAATATACAATATATCTTTGGATTTTAAACGATATTTATTACGCAATTATTTGATTTCTAATTGTGATATTCCGGATAAAAATTAAAAATTGTTAATTACATTTAACCGAAAAATTATCATGAAAAAGCACAGCCTTAATCTCCTTTTAAAGTTAATGATTAGATAATCTTTTTAATGTAAAAAGGTTACACAATTTGATTGAAAAATATAAATAGATAAAATTTCTCCCTCAAAAAAAAAAAAAACAAACTTATATTTCATATTTCTTTTGAATCAAAAAAAAAGAAATTTTATATAAATTACTCTTTAAGTATCTTTTAGAAAAAAAAAGATGGCAAACGTAACAGAATCATCATCAAATACTAAAATTATTAATTATAATAATAATCCATTGCCAAAAATCCAAGTACCTTTTCCACCTGAAATAAATGCAAAAGATCTTATCGCTCATCGTGAATCTCCTGATGGAACAAAGAAATTAACAACAAGAGCACCCAACGCATTTATTATTTTCAGAAAACAATTTGTAAAGACAGCAAGAGATGAAGGACATTTTTTACCGATGACAGTAATCTCTTCCATGGCATCGACAGCGTGGGAAAATGAGAGAGAGGAAGTAAGAGTAGAATATAAACGTATCGCTAGAGAAGCACACATTCAACGTAAAGCCTTGTGCCCTAAATCGAATAATCGAAGAAAAAGAAAGGAAAAATGGAACCTCGTTTCATTTATTCCTTCCACTTCCGTTAATAAACCTGGTTCAAAAATGATTTCAAATAAATCGGCCACCTCAGGAAATGGAAATAATAACATCACAAATACTAATAATCATAATAATAATCATAATATTATTAATAATCATATTACCAATGATTTATTACCTGTAAAATCGGAATCAATATTGACAACTGACATAATTACTCATCATGAAATAAATGAAAATTATTTTGCCCATTATTACCCTAACTTTTCTTTCACTTCATATAATGAAAATTCTGATTTATCATATAATTCATACAATGAAAGTCCCAATCTTTCATATACTTCATATAGTGAAAATAATAATCATTCTACAAGTCCAAATGAGAATATAAATCTAAATTCAAATCTTTACGATAATACTGAACAACAACAACAATACTCAAGTCCTTTTCTTATGAGTATTCCTACAATCAACATTTCTGATGATGATAATAACAATGATAATAATAATAATAATAATAATAATAATAATAATAATAATGATGATGATCATCTTCATGACTATAATTCTATTCTAGAAAATCATATTCAACAAAATAATTTATATAATGATGATAATAATTGGAGCGGAACTATTTCCAATTTCACAGCATCTCCATCAAATTCTTTATCAGATTTTACATCAAATGCGTCATCATCTCCATCAATTGCCTCTCCATCAATTATATCATTAGATACGCCAACCGCCGCATTGGCTAGGTCGGATTTTACGGATTTTACGGATTTCACCATTATTAACAATACGACACAAAATAATTATGAAATCATGGATTTTCCATCAATCATTTATAATAACGATACAATTATGCAACCTCTTGTGATGATGCAATGATTGTGTTGGCTCGTTCTAACAAAACTGTATATTGGGTCAAATATTTTCTTTTACATAATTAGACAACAATACAAATTATTTTATTATTTATTTTATTTTATTTTTTATTATTATTATTATTTTAGAATTATACACTTTTTCCTTTTTTTTTTTTCAATTGTATTATAAATTCAATAACAATCTTCTAGAATTATGAATAATATATGAATATAAAATTTTTATTAAAAAAAAAAAAAAAAAAAGATATGGAAAAACATTTAAGATTTTTTTTTTTTTTTTTTTTAAAAAAAAAAGAAAAATTATGAAAAAATTATGCACAATACAATAAAAAGTTAAAAATAAAAATTATACTGTTGTACCCCATAAAAATATATATATATTAATAAATGCATAAAAATTTTTTTCGCGGATTTAATGGATTTAATGGAATTTACCGAATTTTTACAAATGCAAAAAAGTTTAGCCGGTGTAATTTTAAAAATAAAAATAATTAATAATATACATTTGTTCTGGTGTTTTCTAGAAAACTCAAATACCGAGGGAGGTGTAATTGATAGCCATGTGTGTGGCAATATTATTTAGTTTTATTGAAATCTGAAACAATGCAAAATATAACTTTTTATTATTATATGTATTTATTTCTTGAATTAAATAATAAAAAAAAAATAAGATTTTTTTTTTGTTTGAAAAAAAAACCAACTCCGAAAATCAAAAGTAAAGGCATTGAAGAAGAAGAAAACCTTCTTCAACCATTGGAATGTTGGGATGACGAAAAAAAAATATATTAAATTACCTTTACTATTTCATATTTAAATATAAAAAATTAAGAATTCTTTTTAAACAAATCAAAATTATCTTGATTAATGCATTCGCTCCGCAGTTAAGCACATGACAAAACTATAAATATCAGACACTTTGATAAACTTTTTAACTACTCCCTTCTCGTACATATTGTATATATATATATATATATATTTTTGTCAATTTTTTAAAAAAAAGTCAATAACCCTAATAATAAGAATAATAAAGAATCATAATAAATAAATAAAATGGCAACTTCCAAAACGAAAGGTACCACAAACAATTCAAATGCTCCAACAACTTCGACGAGTACAACTTCAGCTGGTAGTGGTAGTAGTAGTAATTACCTAAACTCCAATTCAACAAAACATACTGGATCAAATTCCGTTTCCGAAATTACCACCACAAGTAATAGTGGCGGTAGTTCTAAACGAATCGGTAAAGGTAAAGAAGTTCTTGCTAATCCGGTAAATAGATTTGTTATATTTATTATTATAATATTTTTAAATTCTTAATTCACCTTTACATAATTCATTTTAAATAATTCTATATAATTATTTATATAATTCTATAAATTTACATAATTCTATATATAATTATTTATATAATTCTATAATTCATCAATTAATCAATTAATCAATTATATTATTACAGATTGATTTCAATACTTTTGATGTTTCAGTGTTACGTAGATATAAACGTATTCATAAATTAAAAGTTAAAGAATATGCAAGTAAAGAAGAACTTGTGGCAGCTGTTAGTAAGCATTATGCTGCTCAACAACCAAAAGAAGTTGATGCCATTGCAGCTTTTATTTATTCTGTTCACCATCAAGGTTGGTTTTTTTTTCTTCTTTTTATTTATTTATTTATTTATTATCATCTAATTATATATATATATTTATATTTTAAACAGATACAACGTTGAAACTACCAATTCCTTGATTTCATTTTTTAATTAAAATTATTCCCCCCTTTTTTTTTTATGAAAACGTTCTTAAAATTACATATTAAATAATGTTAAATAATAATAATAATAATAACAATAATAATAATAACCATCATAATCATCATTTACTTATCAATTAACATATTATCAACCATTTCTGCAATTGCCAATGAAGAAGTTAAACCTGGACTTTCAATTCCAATCAAATTTATAAATCCATTTAATCCATGTTCTGATTCTTCTTTAATTATAAAATCTTTAAAAGGTTCATCTTCTTTTGTTAATTTTGGTCTATTAAAAAAAAAAAATACACACATATATATATACATATAAAATAAAGAAATTAATATAAAAAAATATTATGATAATATAAAAATTTTAGAATAATAATAATTTAAAATTCAAAATAATTAATAAATTCAAAATAATTAATAAATTTAATAATAATATAATTAAATTTAATAATAATAATAATAATAATCATCATTATAATAATAATAATTACCTAATTCCAGAATAATCAGCAAATAAATTTTCTTTTTTCATATCAGGTAAATATTCTTTAATAGCATTTAAGAATATTTCTTTTCTTTTATCATCATAATCATCAACCTTATAATCATTGGGATTATCAATATATAAAACATCCGGTCCAAATTTGATTCTATCATTTAAATCTAATGTAAGGTGAATTCCCAAATTTTTAAGATTCTTGGGTGGCACGGGATAAATCAAATGATTCACTTTTATTAATGGATTTCCTTCTCCTCTACTTCTTCTGTAACTATAATAATGTCCTTTAACATAATAAATCTTATATTTAAAAGGTAATAATAGATTTGCTATTTTATCCGAATGAAGTCCTGCCGAATTTATTACTATTGGAGAAAAGATTTTAGTTTTTGAAGAAGAAGATGAAGTGGGATCACTAATTTCTATAATATATCCTTCATCATTTCCATAATTTCCTTTAATAATATTCGTCACTTTTGAATTTATCACCAAATTTCCATTACCATTACTATTATCTCGAAATTTCCATTCTAACCAATTAATAAAAGCATGAGAATCAAATATTCCCGTAGTAGGTGATACCAATACTTGTTCAGCTTTTAAATTTGGTTCAAAATTATTATTATTATTATGATTATTATTATGATTATTATTATGATTATTATGATTATTAGATAAAAAATATGTGGGAATTCCTAATCCTTGAGATTTTCTATGTAAATCATGTAAATATAATGTTTGATCATTATTTTGAGAAACTATATATTTACCTAAAGGATAAAAAGGTATAGTTAATTTAAAAAAAGAATTATTATTATTATTATTATTATTGAAATAATTGGAATTAATTATGAAATCATCAGTAAGGTTAGGAGATGAAGAATAATTTATTTGAGTTGAATTGGTGTTTAATTTAAATTGGGAAAATAAGAGAGAATAAAGTAATCGTTTTCCACGAATGCATAAACGCGTTTTTAAACTATCATTTGGATAATATATTCCAGCGTGTATTACTTCACTATTTCTTGAACTAATTAAAAAAAAATGTATTTTGTGAAAAAGTTAGAATTTTTGATGAAATTTAATAAAAAAATTTTTAATTAATTAATTCATTCATTAATTCATTCATTCATTCAAATCAATTATTCTTTCTCTTTACCTTGTTTCTTCACCTATTTTAGAATTCTTTTCAAGTAACAAAACCGATTTTCCATTTCGTTGTGATAATCGTTCTGCTATAGAAAGTCCAACCACACCAGCCCCTATTATTAAATAATCTACCGAAAAATCCGGAGGTGATATAGTTCTAAATGATGAAAATGATGAAGATAATAATGAATGAGATGATTTTGAAAAATCTTTAATATTCTTGATATTATCAACATTCTTGATATTCGTGATATTCGTAATATTTTTGATATTCTTGATATTTGATGAATAATTTTTAGAATTTAGATATTTTGAATGATTTGAATATTTTTTTTTTAAATAATTTAAACAATTTAAATAATGAAACCCTTTTATCATTCTCTAATATTACGTTTGAAGAAGAAGAAAAAGAAGATGGTAAGAAACAACATTTGATCATAGTTACACACCCTTCTATAAAATATAAAATATATTAAGTATATAAAATAGGAAATATCTAATACAATTATGTCAATAATTTTTAATCCATGTTATCAATTACTTAATCCATGTTATCAATAATTTAATCAATGTTATCAATAACTTAATCATTGTTATCAATAACTTAATCATTGTTATCAATGTTATCATTTTATCACCAATCAATCAATCAATCATGAGATGATAGTGCCAAATGAAAGTGTCAAATGTAAAAGGAATTATTTATGAAAGAAGTCAAGATAATGTAAATTATGTAACGTTGCTTTAATTATAACCTAAATATCTTCTTGTGCATTTCAAAAATTTCTGTTTGGTGAAATTTCATTCACACGAATCTATTTTAAGTAATAATAATTATAATAATAATAATCAATAAAAAATAAAAAAAGGGAAACCTTCAAAAAAAAGACGATGAACCTTAAATTAAGCTGTAGCCGTGAATAAAGTTAATTCATTCATTTTTTTTAATTATACCATTTAATATCTATCGTTATACAATTTTTTATTTTCGGTGAATCGCGAAAAAAAAATTATTTATTTATTTATTTTTTTTTTTTTTAAAAAAAAGGAGGATATTCCTTTTATTATTCATTTTTAGAAAAATTATAAAGATTCCAAAAAAAAAAAAAGTTAAAGTATAAATTAAAATATTTATTATATAGATTATGTATTAAAAAAAAATTTTAATTATTATTAATTATTATTTATTATTGTTGGTAATTAATAATTATTATATTATTATTATTATTATTATTAAAATTACGCGAAACATACACGTAACAATCTAAGCGCGTATATTGACCTTTATGATATTTTATAATCCCATAAAAAATAAAGTAAAAATTGAAATCTGAATTTGAAAATATCGAACGATTTAATAAAATATATATATATATAATTATTATTATATAATTCAAAAAGACAGTTAAGAAAAAAAAATTTAAAAAAATATATATATATAAAAATATAGATGTATAGTACTTATTATAATACTTGAAGCATTTACCAGATCAAAAGAAGAGAAGAGAGAGAAGAGAAAGAAAAAAAATCAAAGGAAATAATAAAAAAAACATGAAAAAAATATATATATTATTGTACACAAAATATGTGGAAGAGAATTTGTGAAAAAAAAAGAATATATTCTATTTTATAATCAAAGTGATATAATTGAAAAATAAAAAATATGATATATATTCTTTTAACTAAAAAAAAATAATGATTAATATGTATATAGAAAATGCTTTGCCAAAAGTTACCTATAAAAAAAAATTAAAAGAATTAAGAAATCGCAAAACACAAACAGCAACAAGTATTAAGTTACTTTCACCCACAAAATAATCAAAAAATCTTTGACAAATAATAAAAAAAAAAATGTACATATTAGAAGTTAAAAGAAGTGTCCACTTAAAACAATAATAAAGAATAAAAAATATTATATATATATATATGTGTGAAAGAAAAAATTATTTAAGTGAAAAAAAATATATGTAAAAAAGAAAAAAAAGAGGAGACAAAAAAAAGTGTATACAATGAAATTAAAAGAATAAAATATTATATATATTGGAGGGAATTCGAAAATCTTATTCAAGAAAGAAAGCAACTGACAAGTATTTGAACAAGTATTGAACAAGTATTTGAACAAGTACTATTATTATTGAACAAAACTATTATTGAAAAAAAAAAACTATTGTTGGAGGTGCAAATAATATGTACAAATTTGATTTCACGTCTAGTGAAATACAAATTAAAAAAAACCCACCAAATTCTTTTTTTTTTTTTTGAATATTACAAAAATATTAACAACACTTTTTAACGTTAAAAAATATCCGCATCTACAATAAAGAAAAATTACATTTACTTTACGATTAACTTGACTTAATTAATTCTAAATAATAATTGTGATATTCTTAATTGAAGAAGGGTTCATCATCATCATCAATTCATCAATCATCAATTCATCATCATCATCAATCATCATCAATCATCATTATCTTCTTCTTTCTCTTTTTTTTTTTTTTCTTCAACTTTGTTCATCTTATTAAACTTGTTTCGATAATAATTTATAAATAATAATAATAAAGAATAAAATAAAAATAAAAAAATAAAATAAAATAATAATAATAATTGAATACTAGCAATTACTATGATCACTAGAAACATAAGAAAAAAAAATAAAATTGATATTGAATACAGGCAGACAATATATATATATATATAAATGTATATGTATATGTATATATGAAAAAAAAAAACATAATTATTACAATTTACTAATAATTTGAACAAATTAATTTCTAAGGAGAACAATCAAGACCGTCAAATGGGGACGAAGCCGTACCACCTCCCGAAACATTATCAGTTGATTTTAATCTTGCTTCAAGTGCCGAAGTTTTATTACGTTCATCCTCCAATGTTTGTTTAAGGAGTCGAATATATTCAACTGATTTACGAAGGATAACACCTTTATTTGGTTTATTGGTTGAATCAATATAAAGTTCTGGTAAGAGAGTAGAGAGTTCTTGAATTTTTTCGTTTATATTGTCTCGTCGTCTACGTTCAACTATAATAATAATAATAATAGTAATAAAATCATCATCATAAATAATATATAATAATAATCATCATAAATAATAAATAATAATAATCATCATAAATAATAAGTAATAATAAATAATAAATATTATTATATAATATATAATAAATAATAATGATGGAATAACAGAATCACTTGACCGAACTCACCTGCATTGTGTGATTCACGTCGGCGACGTCTTTTTTCAAATATCAATTGTCTATAAAGAAAAAAAAAAAATGAGGAATAATAAAAATTTTATAATTCAATTAATATTTAACAAAAATATTCACAATGAAAAATAATAATAATAAAAAAAAATATTTACAAAATATAATTTAGATATTATAAAAAATAGATATAGATATAGATATAGATATATATATGATATAGATAATAATAATAGACATAATGTAGATATTTACAAAAGAAAAAGAAAAAAAAAAAAAACATAGATATATATATCTATATAACAAACAAAAAATCATTATTTTTTTTTAATGAATACACACTGTTTTTGAGCCGATTCAGGATCATCAGAATCCATAAGACCTTGTGGCAGGTCAGGAGGAAATTGCAGAGAACCAGGTTGAAAAGAAGACGGTTGAAAAGAAGATGGTTCCAAACTTGTACCATACGGCCAGTCCGTATTGGGATTGGTAAGATGAGCGGGTAATGACATACTAATATGATGATTCCCTCCTGCAAAAGTATCCTGAGTTTGCCTATAAATTTTGTTATTATGATTATTACGACTGGGTTTAACATCCATGGGAATAGCTGTGGTTGGACCACCATTAAATTCTGTCGTATCAATATAATAATCGCTGGTTGAATCTAAGTTCGTCATATAATTGGATGCATCAACTGGTGAACCACCAAAAGATGAACGGTCAAGAATTCCTGATGGTTTAAAAGATCTTCCATAATCGTTTTCGTTATCATAGTTAGGAGGTGAACCAAGAATTGGTGTGCTATTAACTGGTGAAGTGGGACAAAAATCTAGATCATTATGCATTTCGGATTCTCGCTTTACTTGACTTAAATTTGTTAAGAAGGGTTGTTGTTGTTGTTGTCGCACTAGTACAACAGGATCTATTGTGTTGGTGAAGGAATTGCCAGGTGTTGGTGGCATACCATCGCTGGAAAAAGTATTCTGATTACGTAGTTCTCTCTGTTTCTTATGATATTCTGTGGGATGTCGTAGTCGTGAACTAATAATAGCTTGATTAGGTGTTACTTGTTCTTGAAGAAAGGAACTTCCTTGATTAAAAAAACTCATATTTTTTTATTTTATTATTTTTTTTTTTTGGTCTATTAATTTATAATATTTATGTATTTGACTCAACTATTTGATATTAAAAGCTTTATAAGCTGAGGTATTGATTTTTCTAAAGGAATAATTATAAGCGGTTAAAAAATCTAAGAAAAAAAAATATAGTATATATTCACAATGGGAAGTAACGGGAAATGAAATAGTTGAAAAATAAAGGAGGTTATAGTTATAGTTACGCAGTAAGTAGTTACGCCAAGATGCAGACAGAAATAATAAATGTTTTTGTGGGGGATTATTCCCAATTGTTCGGATATATATATATATTATAATAAGTTATACATGATATCATTGGTCACACAAAACGTTTCGGGAGTATCTTATTTATCTTATATATCTTTTATGTATCTTTATTTATCTTTATTTATCTACCATTACTACTATTTTCTACCATTACTACTACTATTTATTACGATTATTATAGATTATTATAATATTAAGTTCTCGAGAATACTAAAATTAAACAACAAAAATTTAAATACAGAAAGTCGGAATTTGATTTTTTTATCTTTTTTTTTTATCACAAAAAAAAAAAAAAAAAAAAAAATCTGCAATCAATTATAAATTTTATAAATTCAACATAACTAAATAAATAAATTAATAATATTAATAATATTAATTAATAAAAATTATATATATTTATATATTTATATATTTCAAAAGCAAAAGTTAGCAAAAGTTAGGCTACAAATGTAAGATTTTCTATTCCTAATTTAATATATATATACCAATATGTATGTATGAAATTAATCGGATAATATAATTTATACTCCTTGTGATATTTGTTATAATAAAATTATTTGACGAAAAACAAATGATTATGTATTAAAAGTAATAATAATAAATTAAAAGAAAATGAAAAAACGAAAATATAAAATGAGATTATAAAATAAGACCATTTAATTCCTACAATGTAATTTACTGTCTACAATGTAATTTACTGTCTACAATGTAATTTACTGTCTGTACTAACTTTAATAACAGTAGTCGTAGTAACTACTATAGTAATCAGAACAAGTATAAACCTTACATCCGGTATAAGAGCTGATTCTATAACAGGTATACTAAAAAAAGAAAAATTTTTTTTGAAAAAAAAAAATAGAGAATAATGAGAAATTTGAAAATTGAAATTCAATTTTAATTTAATTTAAATTTAACTTACGGTATAATAATAGCATGAAGGTACATATGAAGAGCAGTCGGAGTCTGAAGTATATGAATATGTTGATGTAGTAGCTGCAGCTGCACTTGCTAACGCCAAATAAGATGCCAATGGAATAACTAATAATTTAAATTTTTTTTTTTTCTTTAGTTATATTTTTTTGAAAAAAAGAGAATAGATTTATCACACACACATATATATATAAAATTACTTACTGAAATACGAAGAATAATATAAGAAGAAGATTAGACCCAACCATAACTTCCAAGTCGGTCTACCCTCATAAAATATGGGCATCCTCCAGATTTGTTCTATACTAGTAATTTGTGTAAAACTTCTCTTTTCGGGAGGAATCGAAGTATCCACTGTTCCTGGAGGGCCTGCCATGTATGTAGTAGTTGTAACTGTTGTAACTGGTGGTATAACGGTAACTTGCGACGTTGGTGGTGGTGGTGATTGATGGACTTCAATATTTGTTGTTGGTGGTGGTGGTAATGGTAATGGTTGTGAATGTCCGGTATCATATTGTTGGGAAATTTCAGTTGGAGGTAGACCATATTGAGGAACCCCTTGAGGAGGGTTATTATATAGGTTCGTAGGAGGTGGACCTTGAGGAGGATTATATTGCGAAGGGGGACCTTGATTATTATTGTATTGAGGTTGAAAAGGTTGACTACCGGGAGGAGGATTATATTGGGTCATAGGAGGAGGAGGACCGTCTGGAGGATTATATTGAGGTCCAGACATTCTTAATTATTATTTTTTATTTTCTTTAAAGTGGTATGTTTTGAAAGAAAAGAAAGTTATAACTCAGTAATTGTTATTAAAAAAAATAAAAAAATAAAAAAGAAGTTTTTAAAAGAAATGAAAAATTGTGGTGTAATCGGAGTACATTCGTTTCACGAAATAAATGACTATTTTATTCTAACCAATAAAATTAATAAATTAAAATTGTATTTCCTTTTGCGTTCAACAATGATCCGAAATTTGAATGATTTCTCGTGTTTGAAATTTAAAAAATTTTCATAAATTTTTAAAAAAATTTTCACAAATTTTATTATTGTTTAATGTTTTTCAATTTCTTTATTAATTTTATTATCATTATTATAAAAAGCTTTGTTTTAATATTGCAAAAAAAAAATAAAAATAAAAAATAATTTTAGAATTTTGGATTTTGGATTTCGGATTTCGGTTTCGGATTTTTATTACATATATACAATATTAAACACCTTGTGATATTTGTTATAATAAAATTATTTGCCGAAAAACAAATGATTTTGTATTAAAAGTAATAATAAATGAAATGAAATGAAAATGAAAAAACGAAACTATAAAGTGAGATTATAAAATAAAACCATACAATGTAATTTACTGTCAATACTATACTAATTAATAAATAATAGAATAAGTAGTAACTAGTATAGGAATCAGAATCTTACATCAGGTATCAGTGTTTGAAATTCAATGTGCGGAATGTGCGCTAGCACAAAATTTGAAAACTTAAAAGGCATCCGCACAAATTTTTGCATATAGAATTTAAATTGTGTATATTCCGCACAGGATTTAAAATTTGAATTTCAAACATTGTCCGGTATAAGAGCTGTATTTATAAACAGGTATACTAAAAAAAAAGAGAGAATTCAAAAACCAACAATTTTAATTTAATTTAAATTCAACTTAACCGCATGAAGGTATATATTCATATGATGAGCAGTCGATGTCAATTGTCTTTACTAACATAAATAGGGTGCCAATTGAAAAATTAATAATTTTTTAATGTTTTTTTTTAGTTTTATTTTTTTTTTGAAAAAAAAGAATAGATTTATCACATATATAAAAAAAATTACTTAGTGAAATACAAAGAATAATATAAGAAGAAGATTAGACCCAACAAAGTTGGCCTACCTTCATAAAAATAAGGCCATCCCCCAGATTTTGTTCCGTACTGGTAATTTGTGTAAAACTTCTCTTTTCGGGAGGAATTGAAGTATCCACTCCACGTGGAGGACCTGGAATACATGTAGCTGTTGTAGCTGTGTAATGGTAACTTGTGGACTTCAATATTTGTTGTTGTGGTAGGTTCGCCTACCGGGAGGAGGACCGCCTGGAGGATTACATTGAGGTCCAAACATTATTAATTATTATTTTTTATTTTCTTTAATTTTCTTTAAAGTGTTTTTGTTTTGAAAGAAATTTATATTCTAGTAATTGTTATGAAAAATTTTATTCGTGATGTGAAAAAAAAAATAAAAAAAGAAGTTTCTTAAAAAATGTGATACATTCGTTTTATTTTCCTTTGATCCCAATTCGGTTTGAAATTTGAATTTAAAAGTGGCTCTTTTTTTTAAAAAATTTTAAAATTTCAAAATTTTTTAAAATTTTCACAAAATTTTTATTATTTTTTAATTCTTTTATCAATTTTAATATTACAAAAAAATAAAATAAAAAATAAAAAATAATTTTAGAATTTCGGATTTTTTTTATACATATACTGTATATATTCAGATAATATAATTTATACTCCTTGTGATATTTGTTATAATAAAATTATTTGACGAAAAACAAATGATTATGTATTGAAAGTAATAATAAATGAAATGAAATGAAAATGAAAAAACGAAATTATAAAATGAGATTAGAAAATAAAACCATTTCATTCCTACAATGTAATTTACTGTCTACAATGTGTAATTTACTGTCAATACCGTATTAATTAAGAGAACAGTAGTCGTAGTAACTACTATAGGTATCAGAACAAGTATAAATTTTACATCCAGTAGAAGAGCTGATTCTATAACAGGTATACTAAAAAAAAAAGAGAGAATAATGAGAATTTTCAAAATTGAAATTCAAAAACCAATATATTAATTTAAATTTAACTTACGGTATAAAAGCTGCATGAAGGTACATATGTTGGGCAGGTGGTAATAGTAGGAGAAGATAAAGAAAGAGATGGATTACGAGAACAGTTGTCGTATAAATTACTATATGTATCGGAACAAGTATAAAGCTTACATCCGGAATAAGTGATGATTGTATAACAGGTATACTAAAAAAAAAGAGAGAATAATGAGAATTTTGAAAATTGAAATTCAAAACCAATAATTTTAACTTACGGTATAAAGGCTGCATGAAGGTACATATGTTGGGCAGGTGGTGGCAGTGGTAGTAGGAGTTGGATTATGAGAACAGTAGTCGTAGTAACTACTATAGTAATCAGAACAAGAATAAATCTTACATCCGGTATTAGAGCTGATTGAATAACAGGTATACTAAAAAATTTTTTTTTTAAAAAAAAGAGAGAATAATGAGAAATTTGAAAATTGAAATTCAAAAATCAATAATTTTTAATTTATTTTAAATTTAACTTACGGTATAAAAGCTGCATGAAGGTACATATGAAGAGCAGTAGTTTCCTGAAGTAGCTGTCCTTGCTACCGCCAAATAGAATACCAATGGAATAACTAATAATTTTGAATTTTTTTTTTTTTTAGTTTATTTTTTTGAAAAAAAAGAGAATAATTTATTACAATATATATAATTACTTACTGAAATACAAAGAATAATATAAGAAGATGATTAGACCCAACCAAAGCTTCCAAGTCGGTCTACCCTCATAAAATAAGGACATCCTCCAGATTTGTTCTATACTGGTAATTTGTGTAAAACTTCTCTTTTCGGGAGGAATTGAAGTATCCACATTACCTGGAGGACCTGGAATATATGGTACGGTAACTTGCGGCGGAACATATCGAGGAACACCTTGAGGAAGGTTATTGTATAGGTTCGTAGGAGGTGGACCTTGAGGAGGGTTATTATATAGGTTCGTAGGAGGTGGACTTTGAGGAGGGTTATTATATAGGTTCGTAGGAGGTGGGCTTTGAGGAGGATTATATTGCGAAGGGAGGCCTTGATTATTATATTGCGGTAGAAAAGGTTGACTACCGGGGGGAGGATTGTCTGAAAGGTTATATTGAGGTTGAAAAGGTTGACTACCGGGAGGAGGATTGTCTGAAAGGTTATATTGAGGTTGAAAAGGTTGACTACTGGGAAGAGGACTATCTGAAAGGTTATATGGAGGACTGCCTGGAGGGTTATATTGAGGTCCAGACATTATTAATTATTATTTTTTATTTTCTTTAATTAAAGTGTTTTTTTTTTGTTTTAAAGAAATTTATATCGTTATTTAAAAAAATAAAAAAATAAAAAAGATGTTTCTTATCAATGGAGTGTAACCGCAATACGAAGTAACTACTCAACAATTCGGTTTGAAATTCTTGAATTTAAAGTGTCTCTCTCTCTTTTTAAAATTTCAAAAATTTTTACAAATTTTTATTATTGTTTAATGTTTTTTTAATGCTTTGTTAATTCTTTATTAATTTTATTATTTTATTATAGAAAGCTTTGTTTTAATATTGACAAAAAATAAAAAATAAAATTTTTTAGAATTTCGGATTTTTATTTACATATTTATATTCGGATAATATAATTTATACACCTTGTGATATTTGTTATAATAAATTATTTGACAAAAAAATAAATGATTATGTATTATAATATGAAATGAAAATGAAAAAACGAAACTATAAAAATGAACCATTTATTCCTAAAATGTTACCTCTACAATGTGTAATTTACTGTCAATGCCATACTAAATAATAGAACAGTGGTCGAAGTAACTACTATAGGTATAGTACAAGTATAAATCTTACATTCGGTATAAGAGCTGTAATTATAAAAAAATAAGAGAGAATAATGAGAATTTTGAAAATTGAAATATAATTTTAATTTAATTTACTTTATAATAGCCGCATGAAGAAGGTATATATTCATACAATTGGTCAATTGTAGGAGAAGGAGAAGGATAAGGATAAATATAAGGAGATGGATATGTTGATGTAGCTGCCCTTGCTACCGCCAAATGGAATAACTATCAATTTTTGAATTTTTTTTTTTTAGTTTTATTCTTCTGAAAAAAAAAGAATAGATTTATCACGTATATATAAAAAAAAAATACTTACTGAAAAACGAAGAATAATAGACCCAACCAAAACTTCAAGTCGGTCTACCCTCATAAAATATAGGCATCCTCCAAATTTGTTTTATACTTGTAATTTGTGTAAAATTTCTCTTTTCGGGTGGAATCGAAGTATCCACTCTACGTGGCTCTGTAATGGTAACTTGTGGCGGTGATTGTGATGATTGATGGACTTCAATATTTGTTGTTGTTGGTGGTAGTGGTAATTTACCAGTATTATATTGTCGCGACATTTCAGTTGGAGGTGGACCATATTGAGGAACATCTTGAGGAGGGTTATTATATAGGTTCGCCCAGTGTTGTCAAATTCGCATGTCCCCAGCTTTTTTAACTGTCCCTGTGTCCCATGTCCCATGTCCCACTGTCCCTACCCTTAACCAACCTATAAATGGATACTAAAACTTTATAAATATATATAAAAATCAATTTCAAACAACTTTAATTAATAGCCCAAAGCAGATTTTTAAGTAAAATTTTGTGAATTTACATTTTAAAAAAAATAAGTTTTGTCCCAACATTGTCCCGAAGGTGTCCCTTGACAACACTGGGTTCGCCTACTGGGAGGAGGACCGCCTGGAGGATTACATTGAGGTCCAGACATTATTAATTATTATTTTTTATTTTCTTTAATTTTCTTTAAAGTGTTTTTTGTTTTGAAAGAAATTTATATCCTAGTAATTGTTATTAAAAAAAATTGAAAAATTTTATTTTTTTAAAGTTCGTGATGTGAAAAAAAAAAAGAAGTTTCTTAAAAAATGTGGTACATTCGTTTTATTTTCCTTTGATCCCAATTCGGTTTGAAATTTGAATGTTTTCTTGCATTTAAAAGTGGCTCTTTTTTTAAAAAATTTTAAAATTTCAAAATTTTTATTATTTTTTAATGCTGTTAATTCTTTATCAATTTTAATATTACAAAAAAATAAAATAAAAAATAATTTTAGAATTTCGGATTTTTTTATACATATATATATTCGGATAATATAATTAATACTCCTTGTGATATTTGTTATAATAAAATTATTTGACAAAAAATAAATGATTTTGTATTAAAAGTAATAATAATATGAAATGAAATGAAAATGAAAAAACGAAAATATAAAATGAAATTATAAAATAAGACCATTTCATTCCTACAATGTAATTTACTGTCTACAATGTAATTTACTGTCTGTACTAACTTTAATAACAGTAGTAGTAGTAACTACTATAGGTATCAGAACAACTATAAATTTTACATCCAGAGCTGTATCTATAACAGGTATACTAAAAAAAAATTATTTTTTGAAAAAAAAATTAGAGAATAATGAGAAATTTGAAAATTGAAATTCAAAAACTAATAATTTTAATTTAATTTAAATTTAACTTACGGTATAATAATAGCATGAAGGTACATATGTTGGGCAGCTGGTGGCAGTGGTAGTAGGAGTTGGATTATGAGAACAGTAGTCGTAGTAACTATTATAGTAATCAGAACAATAATAAGTCTTACATCCGGTATAAGAGCTGATTGAATAACAGGTATACTAAAAAAAATATTTTTTGAAAAAAAAAGAGAATAATGAGAATTTTTGAAAATTGAAATTCAAAAATCAATAATTTTTAATTTATTTTAAATTTACTTACATTATAAAGGCTGCATGAAGGTACATATGAAGAGCAGCCGGTGTTTGAAGTATATGAATATTTTGCTGCCCTTGCTAACCCCAAATAGGATGCCAATGGAATAACTAATAATTTTGAATGTTTTTTTTTTTAGTTTATTTTTTTGAAAAAAATTTATCACACATATATAAGTATAAAATTACTTACTGAAATACAAAGAATAATATAAGAAAAAGATTAGACCCAACCAAAGCTTCCAAGTTGGTCTACCCTCATAAAATAAGGACATCCTCCAGATTTGTTCTATACTGGTAATTTGTGTAAAACTTCTCTTTTCGGGAGGAATTGAAGTATCCACTGTACCTGGAGGACCTGCCATGTATGTAGTAGTTGTAACTGGTGGTATAACGGTAACTTGCGGCGGTGGTGGTGGTGGTGATTGACGGACTTCAGTATTTGTTGGTAGTGGTAATGGTAATGGTTGTGAATGTTGACCGGTATTATATTGATGTTCAGTTGGAGGTGGACCATATTGAGGAACACCTTGAGGAGGGTTATTATATGGGTTCGTAGGAGGTGGACCTTGAGGAGGATTATATTGCAAAGGGGGACCTTGATTATTATATTGCGAAGGGAGGCCTTGATTATTATATTGAGGTTGAAAAGGTTGACTACCGGGAGGAGGATTATATTGGGTCATAGGAGGAGGACTGCCTGGAGGGCTATATTGGGTCATAGGAGGAGGACTGCCTGGAGGGTTATATTGGGTCATAGAAGGAGGACTGTCTGAAAGGTTATATTGAGGTCCAGACATTATTAATTATTATTTTTTATTTTCTTTAATTAAGTGTTTTTTTTGTTTTGAAAGAAATTATATCGTTATTAAAAAAATAATAAAAAATAAAAAAGAAGTTTCTTAAAAATGGGGTGTAACCGCAACACATTCGTTTTACGAAGTAACTTTATTTTTGTACTCAACAATTCGGATTGAAATTTGAATGTTTTCTTGAATTTAAAGTGTCTCTCTCTTTTTAAAATTTCAAAAATTTTTACAAATTTTTATTATTGTTTAATGTTTTTTTAATGGTTTGTTAATTCTTTATTATTATTATTATAAAAAAGCTTTGTTTTAATATTGCAAAAAATAAAAAAATAAAAAATTTAAGGTTTCGGACTTCGGACTTCGGATTTTTATTTACGTGTATATATTCGGATATACAATATTATACACCTTGTGATATTTGTTATAATAAAATTATTTGACGAAAAATAAATGATTATGTATTAAAAGTAATAATAATATGAAAATGAAAAAACGAATCTATAAAATGAGATTATAAATAAACCATTTGATTCCTACAATGTAATTTACTGTCTACAATGTGTAATTTATTGTAAATACCGAACTAAATAATAGAACAGTGGGCGAAGTAACTACTATAGGTATTAGTACAAGTATAAATCTTACATCCAACAGAGCTGTAGTTATAACAGAAATACTAAAAAAATAAGAAAGAATAATGAGAATTTTGAAAATTGAAATTCAAAAACCAATAATTTTAATTTAATTTACTTTATAATAGCCGCATGAAGAAGGTATATATTCATACAATTGGCAGTCGATGTCAATTGTAGGAGAAGGATAAGGATAAGGATAAAGATAAGGAGATGGATATGTTGATGTAGCTGCCCTTGCTACCGCCAAATTGGACGTCAATGGAATAACTAAAAAAATTTTTTTTTTTTTGAAAAAAAAGAGAATAATTTATTACAATATATATAATTACTTACTGAAATACAAAGAATAATATAAGAGGAATATTAGACCCAACCAAAACTTCCAAGTCGGTCTACCCTCATAAAATAAGGGCATCCTCCAGATTTGGTAATTTGTGTAAAAATTCTCTTTTCGAAGTATCCTCTCTACGTGGCTCTGTAATGGTAACTTGCGGCGGTGGTTGTGATGATTGATCGTGACATTTCAGTTGGAGGTGGACCATAATGAGGAACACCTTGAGGAGGGTTATTATATAGGTTCGCAGGAGGTGGACTTTGAGGAGGATTATATTGAGAAGGGTGGCCTTGATTATTATTGTATTGAGGTTGAAAAGATTGACTACCGGGAGGAGGATTATATTGGGTCATAGGAGGAGGACTGCCAGGAGGATTATATTGAGGTCAGACATTATTAATTATTATTTTTTTATTTTCTTTAATTTTTTTAAATTTGTTTTTTTTTTGTTTTGAAAGAAATTTATATCCTAATAATTGCTGTTAGAAAAATTGAAAAATTTTATTTTTTTAAAGTTTGTGCTGTGAAAAAAAATAGAAAAGAAGTTTCTTAAAAATGTTTATTCGAATTGAAATTTGAATGTTTTCTTGAATTTAAGTGTCTCTTTTTTTAAAAATTTCAAAAATTTTACAAATTTTTATTATTGTTTAATGTTTTTTTAATGGTTTGTTAATTCTATATAAAATTTTATTATTATTATTATTATAAAAAGCTTTGTTTTAATATTACAAAAAAATAAAAAAAAAATAATTTTAGAATTTCAGATTTCGGATTTTTTATACATATATATTCGGATAATATAATTTATACTTCTTGTGATATTTGTTATAATAAAAATTATTTGACGAAAAACAAATGATTATGTATTAAAAGTATGAAATGAAATGGAACTGAAAAAGCGAAAATATAAAATGAGATTATAAAATAAAAACCATTTTATTCCTACAATGTAATTTACTGTCCGTACTAACTTTAAAAACAGTAGTCGTAGTAACTACTATAGTAATCAGAACAAGTATAAATTTTACATCCAGTAGAAGAACTGTATCTATAACAGGTATACTAGAAAAAAAATAGAGAATAATGAGAAATTTGAAAATTGAAATTCAAAATCAATAATTTTTAATTTAAATTTAAATTTAACTTACGGTATAGTAATAGCATGAAGGTACATATGAAGAGCAGCCGGAGTTTGAAGTATATGAATATGTTGATGTAGTAGCTGCAGCTGCTAACGCCAAATAAGATGCCAATGGAATAACTAATAATTTGAATGTTTTTTTTCTTTAGTTATATTTTTTTGAAAAAAAAAAGAGAATAGATTAATCACACATATATATATAAAATTACTTACTGAAATACGATGAATAATATAAGAAGAAGATTAGACCCAACCATAACTTCCAAGTCGGTCTACCCTCGTAAAATATGGGCATCCTCCAGATTTGTTCTATACTGGTAATTTGTGTAAAACTTCTCTTTTCGGGAGGAATTGAAGTATCCACTGTTCCTGGAGGGCCTGCCATGTATGTAGTAGTTGTAACTGGTGGTATAACGGTAACTTGCGGCGGTGGTGGAGATGATTGATGGACTTCAATATTTGTTGTTGCTGGTAATGGTAATGGTTGTGAATGTTGACCGGTATTATATTGATGTTCAGTTGGAGGTGGACTATATTGAGGAACACCTTGAGGAGGGTTATTATATAGGTTTGTAGGAGGTGGACCTTGAGGAGGATTATATTGCGAAGGGGATCCTTGATTATTATATTGAGGTTGAAAAGGTTGACTACCGGGAGGAGGATTATATTGGGTCATAGGAGGAGGACTGCCTGGAGGGTTATATTGGGTCATAGGAGGAGGACTGCCTGGGGGGTTATATTGAGGTCCAGACATTATTAATTATTATTTTTTATTTCTTTAATTTCTTTAGAGTGTTTTTTTTTTTTTGTTTTGAAAAAAAAATAAAAAAGGTTTTTTTAAAAGAAATGAAAAATGTGGTGTAACCGTAGTACATTCGTTTTTTACGTATTATTTTATTCTAACCAATAAATTAATAAACTAATTGTATTTCCTTTTGTGTTCAACAATGATCCCAATTCGGTATGTTTAAAATTCTTTATTAATTTTATTATTATTATAAAAAGTAAAAAGCTTTAATATTACAAAAAAAATAAAAAATATAATTTTAGAATTTCGGATTTCTTTATTAATTTAGAAATGGTGCTACATGAGCAATTATTCTTCATATGATTCAAATCACAATCTGAAACTGTTGTTTTTATCTTTACTTTTTCGGTCCTTTAAACGTATTAAAACATTGGAGCGGAGCAAAGTATTACACCGCAGAACGAAAAATTTGAATGTTATTAATACAGTATCAATGGAATATAATAAATAAATGAATCAATTATCCTTTTTTTGATTGATCTGATGGTTTGTAGAAATAGTGTCCAACTTCTTTTTTTAGATTGTGAGAGTAAAAAAAATAAACTCAAGACCTGTTCTGGTCTGATCGCCTTAACAAACACTTTTGTCAAAAAAATGAATTTGTGTAACTCAAGATCAAAAAATGTAATCCGTTGCCACGAAAAATGTCTAACATTCATAATATATAATCAAGAAGTAAACCTTAAAAAACTTAGACCCTAACTTTATATACGTTGGTTAATAAAGTTCTATTGAATTTGACAGTAGATCTCCTTGAATTCGAAAAAAACAACGCGAAAATTGTAGTTAAACCTGATAAAATTTATGACAAACAAACAATAAATAATAAACAATATTATAATTCGACGTTGACTTATATGCACATGCATGCCAAGTGTCTCACTATTTTTTATTTGAATAGAAACTGCGTAACATGTCTCCTGATCATCTGTGCATGCATGTAAATCAAAAGATGAAACCTTATCAATAAAAAGATCAATGAATAAAAAAAAAAAATCTCTCTCTCTCTCTCCGTTGGTCGGAAACATTATTGATCTGGAAAAATGGTAATATCGATTTGATTTATTTTACATTTATTTGATTATAGAATAAATTCGGAATAGCAAAAATTTCTTCCAAGTGTCAAATATTATTATGAGGTAGCAAAGACAAAAAAAAAGCATATTATCAGTACTTTGTTTTGATTTTTAAGAGATTCGTGAGTCAACCTTTAGGAAATTATTTAAAAGATTCAAAGATGTAGATGTTTGATGAAATCATGAAGACCAATATTTTTGTGTATCGCCTTGAAAAATATATCATTACTTTCCAGTCAATAGAACGCTACGTACGGGGAAATGCTAGTTTATTCATCAAATAAAGAACATTTTTAACCAGAATCATATTTGAAATGCTTCTTTTTTTTTTTATTATTTCTATTGTTTTCAAAAAGAAAAAATATATAACAATTAAAATCTTAATTCCCACTAGACAAAAAATCTTAACAAATTTACAGATTCTATAATATATTGTATAATTCAATTTTTGTGCTATTTACATTAAACTGAAATATCTAGTTAAAACCAATACGATTATAATACCTACCCGTTTATAATTTTTTCTTTCTACTTTTTTTTTTTTTTTTTTTTTCGTGGTTTGCCTGTAAATTGAATAAAACTTATTTATAAAAGTTAAGAAATTTTTTTACGTTCATTTCGCAAATAACTTTTTTCACCGTTAAGTACTGACGGATCGGATATTCTTTTAATGCCGTGTAACACTTTGTGAAGGAAATACAAATCAAAGAGTACAACAAAGCAAAACTGGCAGCCAGTCACCGTTTAAAAGTTAGGAAGTCGGTATCGATATGCTCGGGTATCATTATACTGTATCCCATTGCACTGATCAATAATTTTATTCTGGGCACTCGTGTTATGCGGCGTGAAGATAATAGACGGTATGGAACTTAAAAAGAAAAAGAAATTTTAAGAAAGAAAGAAATAAACTTTTCTACCATGAAGAAAGAAGAAGAAAGAAGGTAGATAGGTAATAACGATAAAGAAAGAATTCAAATTTATTTTATTTTTATAGAAATTTTAATAGTTGAACTCGGAGTCAAATTGATTGACCAATAGAATTGCATCGATACTTATGCAAATCACATAAATTATCTTCACCAAACAATTAAAATTATCATATTATTTACATTATGGGTAAAGACGCTGAACTCTCTACCAACGAAAAAGAATTTATATTATCTAGCCTAAAAGAAGGTATCCGTCTTGACGATCGGGATAAGCATGAATTTAGACCTTTACAAATTTTACTTGGTCCTGATTATGGGCGTTCAGAAGTTAAACTTGGAGGAACAAAGTAAGAAAATTCTTTTTTGTGGGTATAAATACATAAAAAAAAAATGTAATGATATATATATATATACATATACATTAATACTGTTAATTTTTTTTTTTAATTTTAAAAGTTAATAGTTAAAAAAATAATAATAATAATAAATTAAATAATCAATTAAAAAAATTTTTTTAAGGGTATTAGCCAAAGTTTCATGTGAAGTTACTCGACCTCACTTGGATCGTTCTTCCGAGGGAATTTTGATTTTAAATACGGAATTATCTCCTATGGCTTTCCCGGGTCTTGATCTAGGAAGGTATATATATATATATATACATCTTGTATATTTTTGATATTTTGTATAGATACGAATATCTTGACTTGAAAGGGAATCATTTTGTCAAATAAATTCTTCCCATTATATATATATACAAGATCAATTATTTATTATTGTTATTTACTTAATCTATTTAATATTAAAAAAAAAAGGCCATCAGAAGAAGAGGTTAACATAAGCCGTATCCTTGAAAAAGCAATAAAAAGAAATCATGCTATTGATTTAGAAGGATTATGCATTATTCGTGAGAAAAAAGTATATTTTCTTTTATTTATTTTATTCTTTACTTTTATTTTCTCTTTATATTTATTTAACCTTTTTTTTTGTAATTATTAGGTTTGGACAATTCGAGTTGATATCCATTTTCTTGATAATGATGGAAATATACTTGATGCAGCTGGTATTGCAACTATTTCGGCACTCGCTCATTTTCGACGACCGGAAATTACGATTACAGGAGAGGATACCATTACAATAGTATCTTTCTTTCTTTATTATTAATTATTTATTTTTTATTTATTTTTAATTTATTGGTTTTTTATCCTTTAACTGTACCGTTAAAAAAAATATTTATATGTGTGTGTATATATATATCCAATTATTGCACATTTGATATTATTATTTTTTTCTTTAGCATTCAGCCGAACAATTAAATCCAGTACCGTTGGTCGTGCATCATATTCCAATTTGTGTGACCTTTGCATTTTTTGAAATTTCCGAAAATAAGTAAGTAAAAAAAAATAGATAAATTAAAAGAAAAAGAATATTTAAAACTTTTTAATTATTTATAATATTTCAATAATAAATACGCAATAACTCTTCCAAGAACTTTCAAGAACTTTAAATAATTTTTTTAATTCTAAATTTTTTTTTTTAAAGGGATTTATGGGTAGTAGATCCAACTTGGCAAGAAGAAAAAATTTGTCAAGGTGATATGACAATTGTAATAAATGATCATAAAGAAATATGTGTTTTATCAAAAGCTGGAGGAGTTCCTTTATCTACGGAAACAATTATACATTGTTCAAAAATTGCCACAAGTAAAGTAGAAATAATAATAGAATACATTCGTAAATCATTAGAAGTAGCAAATGGTAAAAATAATAATAATAAAATGGATAAAGGAAAACGGTAAAAATAGATTCTAAATTTTTATTATAATTATGTTCTTTGATTATTGATTATAAAAAAACTAAATTTTTTTATCCTTTCTATTTCTCTCTGTCATATTAGGGTAAATCGTGATTGATTAAAAAGTTTATCATCGTTCGTCGATTTATCTTTAGCGTCGCCTTGTTTTTTTTTTTTTGTTTTTTTGATGAAATACCAAGAAGGTAACTAAGGTAACTAAGGTAAGTAATATAAGTAAGAAAATGAAGGAATAATTTTTTTTTCGTATTCTTTGAGGGTTAAAAAAAAGTCAAGTACATATTTGATGAACACATTTGATAAATAATTAAGATAGAAAAAAGAAAAAAAAATTAAATATTATTTAAAATAAAATAAAAAATACCAAGATAAGTACATAATGACACGTAAAGATACGTAAAAAAAAAAATATATTACGTGAAGACACGTAAAAGAAATGCAAATTTTCAAAGGAAAAAAAAATGTAAAAAAACTAGACATGCAAAGAAACGCGTATTTTTTTTGATAAATAAAATTTTCTTTTATAATAATACATGACGATCATTCATACGATACGTATATATTTCGTGTTCATCGCCTTTATTCACGAAGAGTGACTTAATTTAGCATTCACGTTATTTTAAACAAAAGAAAAATTTTTTGTATGTCTTCTCAAACCGAAAGCACCAATACTACAAAAGCAGTAACAGCAACAACACCTTACGTTTTTCCCCTAACAACACCTTACTCCTCCTCCTCTAACTCCTCTCCTTCTTCTCCTCTCTATTCTTCTTCACCTCCGATAAAAGATTATCAAGACTATCAACAAACCCAGTTCATAATAAACGGTTCACCCGATCGTCTTTCTATTTTTCCACCTTCTCCTCCTCCTCCTCCACCGTCACCTTTATTGACACCTTATATAATACCACCACCAGTTCCTGGAGACTTCTTTATTATAAACAACACCACCACTTCTTCACCTTCATTTTTTCCTAATCGTCAAATATCTAACATCAAACCATCACCTCCCTTACCTTCAATACCTTTATCACCTTCTACTAAAACTAAAGAACATCTTTTCGTAAAACCAAAAGCAACAATGTCTAATAGTAATAAAAATAATAATAATAATAGTAATAGAAATAGAAATAGAAATAATGATAAGAATAGTAATAATAGAAATAATAAAAATAATCATGCAAATAACAATACCAATAATATAAATAAAATAAAAAATAATAATGCAAGAAATAATTATACAAATAATAATAATAATACAAATAATAATACAAATAATAATAATAATAATGGTAGTAATAATAATAATGATGATGATGATAGTAGTAGTTCAAGTGAAGAAGAAATAGATACTCTTCTTCATGGTGATGATAGTAGTGATGGTAGTGATAATAGTAGTAATAATAATAGTGGTGAAGAAGATGATGAAGGAGAAGATGAAGACGAAGAAGATGATGATGATAATGATGAAGCTGATTTTGATGAATTAATGCAAAGAATTGAAGATTTAGATATGCCACAAGGATTAATTAAAAAACTTATTAAGAATGTAGTAAGTTATTTCTTTTTTTTTTTTAATTTGAGGTTTGTTTATTTTTTTTTTTTGACGCGTTTTTTTTTTATTGCGAAATTAGTTAGGTGATAATGGATCAATAGAAGAAGATGCCAAATTCGCTATAATAAGATCCACCACAGTGTTTATCAATCATCTTGCTAAATCGTATCCTTTTTTTTTAATTAATTTATTTATTTATTTATTTTATTCTTTGTAATAATTAATTGATTAAATTATTTTTCTTAATTATTATTACTATTACTACTATTATTATTATTATTATTATTATTATTAAATTATTAATTATAATACAGTGCTAATCAAATTTCCAAAGATAATAAACGTAAAATTATTCAAACCGATGATGTATTTGAGGCAGTAAAAGAATGTGACTTAGATGAATTCTTACCGAGATTGGAAGTTGAATTAAATGGTACGGAAAATTTTTATATGTTGGATCGATCAAAATCATATCATTTTTAAATTTATTAAAATTTTGAATTTGATAATTTTTTTATTCATTTCATTTAATTTAATTTTCATCATATATTTATTTGAAATATAGCTTTTGAATTAAAAAAAGCCGCAATGAAAGCAAAACAAAATGAAGAACAAGAAGAAGAAGAAGGGGATGGAGTAGATGATAATGATGATAATGATGAAGGGGAGAAAAAAGGAAAAGAAGAAAAGGAAGGAAAGGAAGATCATATTAATGATAAATATGATAAAAATGATATACTTTCAAGTGGACCACCTTCATCTTCAATTGTGACAAATCTACCTGCTGATAATGGTGTAATAGTAGAAATTACATATCCAAATAATAATATTATTATTGAAACTGATGGTAATGGAAGAGAAGGAGAAGAAGAAGAAGAAGAAGGAGAAGAAGAAGAAGGGAAAGAAGAAGAAGGGAAAGAAGAAGAAGGGAAAGAAGAAGAAGGAAAGAGAGAAGAAAGAGAAGGAGAAACTGAAGAAAGAAAGAATAAAATTGAAAATATATTAGATTGTAATAGTGATTTATCAAGTAATATGGGATCAAATGGAAGTAATGAATAATAAATTAAATAATAATAATAATAATAATAATAATGCTAATACTATAATGATAATACTAAAAGCATTTAATTTTGTTCAAATATACATTAATTGATAATAATAATAATAAAATAAAATATTAAAAAAAAATAAACAATTGTTTTATTACTATTATCATGAAATTTAATTTTTCTTTTACATAATATATATGCTATTATTATTATTATATATATTATTATATATTATTATATATTATTATATATTTTTTACATTATTTTACATATTACTTTTAGTTTCCCATCTTTGTTTTGTTTCGAATCTAAATAAAAGATAATAAATAATGAAATTAATAAGAAAAAAATAAAATAATAAAATAACAAGTATATATATATATATTTAATATTTACCCCCATTTTAATTTTGGTTTTTTCTTTTTTGCTTTATCCTCTTCTTCTTTCTAAATTAATTAAATCAATAAAATCAATAAAATCAATAATCAATAAATTAATTTAAATCAAATAAAAATTATTAAATTAAATTAGATCAAAATAAATAATTAATTAAATCAATTAAAATTTACTTTTCTCCTTTCATCATATTCTTTACACTCGATTGCCTCTCTTATCATATTATCAAAATTCCTTTTAGTAATTTGATCATTTATTTTATTGGCTAAATCTAAATCTCCATTTTCAACTGCTTTATCAAGTTCTTTTTCTAATGGTCCCTATAATAATAATAATATCATTATAGGTTATTATTACATTTTATTATTAAATAAATAAATAAATAAATAAATATATATATATATATCTATCTATCTCCCTTACCTTATGTGCCAATCGACCATGATCAGTTCCTTTTAATTGTGAATTCAGATTTAAATATTTTGTTATGCTTTTAGGTATTGGTAAAGTAGGTGATATACAAGGAAGATTTTTAATGTTTTTATAAGTTTTCGTTTTCTTAGGAGAAGGAGAAGAGGTGGAAAGGGAGTTGGAGGAAATATGTTCAACTTTTCTTTTATTATTATAATTATTATTATTATTGTTTTGATTTTGATTATTACTTTTATCATTTCCTTTAACAGTAACTTCAGTTATACTATCATTCCCTTCATTCTTCTCGTCTCCACCACCACCAACTTCAATATCTTTTTCTTTGAATTCTTCGTTTCGTCTTTTTAACTCTTGTAAACGTTTCCATTTCTCTATATAAAGCGATAATAATATATAATATAGAATATATATAAAATCGATTTAAAATAAATATAATCTATCAAATAATAGAATAAATAGAAAAGACTTTAACTAACCACTCAATGACATATTTATTATTATTATTATTATTATTTATATAATCTTATAATACTTCTGCAAATTTTTGATAATAACATACTTAGCAAATTTTTGAACATACTTTTAACCCATTTTATCGGGTTACACAAATTTCGATGCAAAGGTATCGTTTGATAGATTCATGGTTTAAGCAACGTGGTGTAACTTAATATACATCAATTACGTAATATATAGAATATGACCACGTTATCAAAAAAATGACCATATTGTCTATTTAAGAATTGATTTCATGTGATGATTATGTGATATATGCTAATGTAAAAAAATTCCAAGTTCCCAGGATATTTAGGTGTGATGTGATGCGCGGTGATAAATACACCTCTCCCTAAACCTATTAACATAATGTCATGTGAGGACATATAGGATAAGAATCTAAACCCTTTATTTAATTACTATTATACATTTAAAATTAACTATCTTATTTACATTATTATTATTATTATTATTATTAATTATTAATTATAATTATTATTATTATTAATTATTAATTATAAATATTATTATTTTCTAATTAGTTCTTTTTCATTCCTTTCATTTCTTCAACATCATTACATGTATCAATAATATTCTCACATTGATATTCTTACATTACATTCTTTCTCACATTATATTCTCACAACGTGACGTATTAAATAAAATGTGTTCACGCAGCAATTGAAGTTTGTTGTAAAATAAAATTTTTCAATTCTTTACTGCATAAATCTAAGGGTGTTTTCTGTTCAATATTTTCCAGATTTAAATCACCTCCATATTCAATTAACAACAATGCACAATCCCCATGCCCTTCTTCACAAGCTAAATGTCTATATCGATCATTTATTATTATTATTATATCAGAAATTAGAAATCAAGATGAGGAAAAGAAAAAATAATGATAATCAATAAATAATAATGATAATGATAATAAGAAGAAAGAAATGATAATAATAAAGAAATACTTACAATGGACTATTCTTAATTTTATCTCTGGTATTAGGTTTACTACCTTTTTCCAATAATAATTTAACAAAAGTAGTAAATCCATGAACTGCACAACGATGCCTTAGAATAAGAAATAATAAAATTTTTTAAATAAATAAATTCTAATTCAAATTTTTTTTAAAAAAAAAAAAAATTATAAAATTTTTTATTACTTACAAAGGAATTTGATCATTTGAATCTATAATATTAACATTGGCATTTCTATCTAATAATATCTTTCCAATCTAAATAAATAATGTGTAAATTAAAATTAAATAAAATAAATGTGTAAATGATATTATTATTATATCATTTAAAAAATTAAAAAAATTGTTATTTACCTCAATTCTATTCTTTGAAGCAGCATAATGTCTAAATTGAAAAAATTAGTAACGGTAATTATTATTATTATTATTATTATTATTATTATTATTATTATTATTATTATTATCATTATTATGATAGCACAGTAATCACACAATAATAACTAATAATAAAAATATTACTTACAAAGGTGTCAACCCATTATCATTTTGTACATTGATTTCTGCTCCTGCTTGTAATAATTTATTTGTAATGTCTAAATGTCCTGTTGATACTAAGAAGAATAATAAAGTAATAATGGAATGAAAATGAATAGAGAATTGATAAAAAACTAAAAATTGATTAAAAAAAATAATTTGAATATTTACCAGCAATATGTAAAGGTGTCCAATTGGAATCATCCACTGTATTCACCTCTGATCCTTTATCTAATAAATATTCCACAATCTCTAAGTGACCTCCAGAAACTATTATTGTAAAAAAAAGAATTCTTTTTTTATTATTACTATATTATTAAAGAAATATATATATTTAAAAAGCTAGAAAATAATATAAAACAAAATATTCACCAGCCCAATGTAAAAGAGTTCTTTCATCCTTGATTTATTATTTTAATTATAAATTAATTATTATTAATTATTATTAATGTTAATAAATATTACAACTATTACACCAAATAAATGTTCCAGAATTTGATAACAAGAAAAAAAATTAAAACCTCGTCTCGGGAATTAACAACACCAGGATCCGATTTTACTGCTTGTTGAACAGTATGAAATTCCCCTTCGAAAGCAGCTTTATGAAACGGATATTTGACTTTTTTTGACATTTTTTGAATTTTGAATTTTTGTTCAAGATAAATTTATTGGTTTATCGGATCAAATTTAATGATCGATTTACTCGGTAGTGGCGTAACAAGTTACTATTAAATGCCGCAATTCACATGATTTACCGTTTTAAGGAATAATTTAAATGATCTACAATAATTTAAATGATTTACAATAATTTAAATTTAATAAGAAATTTCCACTAATTTCTATTTCTCGACTCTGACTTGAAAAAAAATCAAAAAAATAATAAAAAATGAAACTTTTCGCATTTGATTTCGATTGGTAATAATGATAATATTAATTCTATTCATTTTTATAAAAAATATTTTTAATTTGAATGAGTTATGAATAAATAATTTTGAATAATGATAGGTCCTTAATTGATGAGAATTCAGATACTTGGATAATAAAACAACTGTCACCAACACTTAGCACTCAAATAAGTGAATTAAGAAAAGAATATCAATGGACTGATTTAATGTAATATAATAAATATTTATTTTTTTTTTTTTTGGAGAAGAATTTCTATCAATTAATTAATTAATTATATACAAATCTTATTATAATTATAAATATATATGTAGGAATTATTTAGTTGGGGAGTTATATAATCAAGGGATAAGCAGACAACAGATTGAACAAACATTATCCAAAATTCCATTTGTATGTATTTTACACACATATAAATTATATATATTTATTTACACTGTATTTACTGTATTCACTATTTGATACATTTACTACATTTTACTATGTTATATTTACATATATTTTCTCTATAATTATATGCAGCATGTTGATATGATTTCAGCTCTTAAACTTATTAAAAAAGCCAATCATGATATTATAATTATTTCTGATGCAAATACTATATTTATTGAAGAAATATTAAAGGTAAAATTAATTTATTTATTTATTAATTAATAATTTATTAATTTATTTGTTTACTGTTAATTTATTTGTTTATTAATTTATTTTGTTTACTTATTAATTTACTTATTTAGGCACATGGGATCCTAGATTTATTTAGTGGTATCATAACAAATCCTGCTAATTGGCAAGATAATGGACAATTAAACATTCAAAGATTAATACCTAAAACCGGTCCCTCTCATAATTGTAAAAATAAATGTTCTGAAAATATTTGTAAAGGTAAAGAATTAATTAATTATTTAACTACACTTTCTTCTTCTTCTTTCCCCCCTCTCTCTCAAGATTATAATAATGATGATGAAAAAAAAGTAAATTATTATGATCAAATTATTTATGTGGGTGATTCTATTAATGATTTTTGTCCAGCTACTAAAATGTCAAGGTATTTATTTAATTTAATTTATTTATTCATTATTATTATTATTATTATTATCATCAAATACTATTACATATACTAATTATACTTTGATTATACTTTTGGATTTCTACTTAATTAAATATATATATAGAAATGATATATTATTAGTTAGAAAAGATTATAGTTTAGAAAGATTTATTAAGAAACTTTTAATAACAGAAGATAAAGATTCACCCATGACAAGTATCAATCCTCGTATTATTTATTGGAAGAATGGTAGTGAAATATTAGATTTAATGAAAGTTAAATTATTATTGTAGTTTGTTTAAAAAAATTTTTTTTTGATGTAAAGAAATTTTCTCTTATTTGAATTTTAACTCGAATTACTTAAAGAATTATTATTATTATTATTATTATTATTATTATTATTATTATTTATATTATCCTTATTATTATTATTATCATTGTTGTTGTTATTATCATTGTTATTATTATTTTGTTGTAGTTGTTGATGTTCTTGTGATAATTGTCGAATACGCGATATTCTTCTAGAATCATTAATAGCATGTCTAACGTATAATCCAACTACTATTGCCATTGTAAATGCTACCAATGGTTGAACTATGGTTCTTTGATTTATTTTTACCATGACTACTAAAAACTAGATATTATTATTAATTAACTATCTACTGATTATTATATTATGCTATTACTAACTATTATTGAATACTATTAGTTAGATAACTATTTAGACTTTTATTACTTTTATTTTTAGATTCTTTTAGATTTATTGATTATCTCTATTCAGATTATTTATATTATTTAAATTATTTAGTCTCCCCATTTCATTTCCTTCGATGAATAAAATAAATAAAAAAAAAAAAGATCTTTAAAAAATCGATCTTGGGTGTCGCGTGTAACGTCTATATTAGATCCAAAAGGGTAAATCAATTATTTATTATATTTATTATATTATATTAATAATGTTATTATATATATTGTATTGAACATTTTTATTATATTATTTAATTTCTTTTTAAATTTCTTCCAGTCTATTATCAGTTACTATTTTATTTTATTTTTTGTTTGTTTGATCATTAACTCGATCATTTTATAAACGATAAACATTTATATGTTTATATATATTTAAATATATTTTACAGTATTGTAAAAAAAAAAAAGAAAGGAAACATTCAAAGTTAAAAAAAAAAAAAATTATTTTATTTTATTTTATTAATTATTATCTAATAGTTAAAAAATAAAAAAATAAAATAAAATAAAATAAAATGTATACTTTATTAAGTGGATTTCATAAGTATATTACTAGAAGAGAAGAATATTATGTAATTATACTTGGACTTGATAATGCTGGTAAAACGGTATATGATATATATCTATATTTATTTTATATTTTATATTTTTTATATATATATTTAAATTACATATATTTACGTACGACTCACAAATATATTTAGACACTTTTAGAACGAATTAAATCCATATTTCTTGGTGTATTGGGTTTACCACAAGATAGGATTGCTCCTACTGTAGGATTAAACAGTACGTTTTCGAATCTTTCTATCTATCTATATCTATATATATATATATTGTATGTCGTAATGAAATAATAAATGAATATAATTGAAATGAGTGATTTATTTGTTTGTTTGAATGAATGAATAATTGATTTATAATTGAAAAAAGGAAATTATATATATATACATATATATATATATATATATCAATTGTTATCATTATATAAATCCCCATGACTCTTCGATCTTTTTTTTATCTCCTCTCCTCTCTCCTCTCTCCTCTCTCCTCTCTTTTCCTTCTCTTATTATTATTATTATTATTATTATTATTATTATTATTATATTCACCTAATAAATAAAATAATAAAAAAGTTGGAAAAATCGATATCGATCGGGCGAGGATTAATTTTTGGGATTTAGGAGGTCAACGTGAACTTCATGGGATTTGGGAAAAGTATTATAGTGAATGTCACGCTATTGTATTTGTGGTAGATTCCACGGATAAAGATCGAATTGAGGAATGCATAAATATTTTTGGTATGTATATTAAAAAAAAAAAATCTATATTTTATAATAGAATATATTTATATTATTTTATCATACTCACACTCTCTCTCACTCATTCACTCACTCACTCACTCACTTACTTAATAATTTAGAGAAGATAATTACAAATGATGAAGTGGAAGGAGTTCCGGTATTAATGTTAGCAAATAAACAAGATTTACCAAATTCTTTAAAAGTTGAAGAAATTAAAGAAATTTTTAATAAGATAGCAATTAAATTGGGAGCTAGAGATTCTAGAGTATTACCAGTATCTGCATTAGAAGGGTAAGATTATTATCATATTTATTTATTTTTATTTATTTTTATTTATTTATATTATTTATTTTTTATTTATTTTTATTTTTATTTATTTATTTATTTTTATTTTTATTTATTTATTTATCTTTATTTTTATTTATTTATTTTTACACAGAGATGGAGTGCGTGATGCAGTAGATTGGTTATTTGTAAGAATACAGCGTAATAAACAAAATAGACCACCGATATTTAAGTAACCGTTCGGAATGTTTAAGCGATTTTTTTTTAAGTGAATATTATTTTAATTTAAGTGAATTTTTTTTTTGTAAGAATTATTTTTTTATTTATTATTTTTTTATTATTTATTTGATGTCGTGAAATTATAATAATACAATTTATTTATTAACAGTTTAATACTTTGAATGAATGAATGAGAATCAATCAGTCACCAATCATTTAGAAACAATACTTAGAAAATAAAATAAAATAAAAAAATGAATTTTAGAAATAAATTATTTTCAAAAAATATTGATTTATTTATTTATTATTTAAAATTATCATCAATTAAATGATTGATAATAATAATTAATTAATAAAAGTAATAATGCAAACAATTAAATATACAAATATATATAATTTATATATAATTCATATATATTTTGGACATTTAAATAATATTTATTTTACTTACTAAAATAACAATATGATAACAATGTGATGATTTATATAGAAGATCTATCAATATGATTATAAATATAAATATAAATATATTTATGAGTGAGATCCAATAAATGAATCAAAATGAAAAAAATTAAATGAAAAAAATAAAATGAAAAATGAAATGAAAAATGAATGTAATAAAATAAAGTAATTGATTTAATTAATTTTTTTTGATTTTTGATTTTGATTTCCTTTTCTTTTTTTTTTAGAATTCGGTCAACGTTAAACTTTTTGAAATATCAGTTGATTCTACTATTGAACAAAATTCTTCGAACGAAATTTTTCCATCCATGTCTTTATCAGCTTCCATAATTGTTTTATCAACGATTTGTTGGAGTTGGTTGTCTTTTAAATTATTTCCAACCATCATTTTTAAGACCAGAAATAATTCTCCATTTGAAATGAATCCATCTCGATCCATATCGTAAACCTTAAATGCGACTAAATTTTTATAAACATTTACATATACATATATATATATATATATATATGTTATTTATATAATTACATTATTTAAATTATCATTATTTATATTATTCAAATTATCCAAATTATTCATAAAATTTAATTAAGAATTATTAATAATAAAAATTAATAAATAAATAAATAAAAAAAAAAATTAATTAATTAAAATAAAATAAAATAAAAAAATCAATAAAATAAAAAATAATTACATCGTAATTTTTCAACTGGATTTCCTTTATCACTAAAAGCACTTAACCCTGAAAGAAATTCTTTAAAATCAACATCTCCACCACCATCCTCATCAAATATCGCAATCATTCTAGATGCCAATGGATTATTGGCGATCTGTGGAATGGCAAGAAATTCTTCTTTTTCGATGGTCCCACTTTTATCTTTATCCAATTTCATAAACCTCTTGTAGAGTCTTTGGACTTCTTCTGCCGTAACTATTATTATTAAATATATATATAAATACTTATTATTACATTATTATGATTATTACTTTTATCATATCATAAATCATTTGAGAGAATATTATTATTATTATTATTATTAATTAATTAATAATTGAGAATTAAATATATATAAAAATTAAAGTTTTATAATTACAGTTTGTGTCTTCCATTTCGTGTTAAGGTTCTCTTTGTCCCTCTTTTTTATTTATTATTAATTTCAAAATATTTTAAATAATTAAATATTATTATTAATATTATTATTTTATTATTATCAAATTATTTATTAAATTATCAAATTTATTTATTATTATTAACTATTAACTTTACTTTATTGTCAAAAAAAAAAAAAGAAAAAAACCTTTTTTGATTTTACCTTTTTTTTTCGTTTCGTTAAATTTGTAATTATTATTATTATTATGTAAACAGAATAATTGGATATTATTGAATTGTAACACCAAAGCTAAGATTTGCAACTTTATTTTAAACATTGACACAATGGTTAATTATTAATAAATTTAAAATTAAAAGAAATTTGTCTAAATCAAGAAAGTCATTTACATATGAAATTTAAATTTCTATAATTGCAATTTAGTATATAATAAAATTATTTTTTATTATTTTTTTTATTATAAATAAATACTTAAATATATTCATTTTTTAATGAACAAGGAAAGAATTTTAAGTTCATCCAATCAGTAAAATTATATTTTAAGTTATTCACATTTTGAATGACGCGTCATGTAAGTTTTATTTTATTACATATTGTATATTGTTTTATTTAATCATAATATTGAGAATAAAAAGTTAATAAAAAAAAAATTAGAATTTCTTGTTTTTAATTTGGTTGTTGTTTGATGATAGCAATATCAATGAACAGTCATGATGATAATTTAAATGTAAATCAATGAATATAAAAATATCAATGATGCGCAAAGTTATTGTCCTTTAAATTCTTGTAAGACTTTCTAATATATTAAAATAAAAAAATTCCTAATTATCAATTACAAAGAAATTAAAAATATACAGTATATAATATAAAATTGGATTTTCTTATATGTATCAAACCTACCTCTAAAACTGCTAAAATATGTCTTTGTTGAATTATACCATTTCCACTTGCTTCATTAGCTCCTTCAGCCAATCGTTTGAGAAATAAAATACAAGCAAGATAAATCTATGTAAGTAATAAATTAATTTTGTATTTTTTTTGTAAATAATTCTAATATATATATATATTTCAGGAAAGGAACTCTCCCCTTCCTCACAAAACGCGATTCAACAAAAAATTTCACGTGAATTTAACGAACCATAATATCAACATTCTTACTTAAAGCTTTATTTTGATGAGACTTAATGATTTTTTTAACTGTAGCGCGAGAAATCATTTTAAATTTATTTTTATTATTTATGATACATAGGTTTGTTTATATATGCAGTTTAAGTCACATGAATAGAGTAACGTTACGTATTTGAAAATCAATTAAGAAATTTTATTATGTTTCTCTGGAATTTATGCTATAGATTCAAAAATTCTATCATCTATATTACTACCGCTTACGTAAAGGGCAAAATTTTTATAATATGAATATATGACGCCTTCACTTATTTTTGAAAAAAATTAAAATTGAATCGTTTATTTTGTATCAAAAAAAAAACAATAAATTTATTTCTTTAGCAATAAAATGTAAAAATAAGCTTTATTAAATATCTATTTTTTTTGGTGTGTAAATGACGTTTGATTTTTCTATTTTCTGGAACATTTTAATTCTCCATTTTCTGAAGTGTCCCAAATCACGATCCCATCCCCTTCACTTGCTTTGAGTATTTAATCTGTAATCCTTCGCTAAGGTCATTTGACTTCGGCTCTGGATTTGAAAGCATTATGTAATTTTTCTTCGAGCTCTTGCTCATGTGGTATTTGCAGTGTAGGCAACATAGGGCATATTATTTTCGGATCAAGTATAAAAAATATCTATGAATCAACAATAAATATGATCAACCATTTTGAAACTTTTCTTTATTTTTATACAAAGAATATTATTATAGACAACTCTATCAGATGAGGCAAGAGATTAAAGATAAGAGTTAAAAATTTTTCTTTTCAGTGGTACCCAACAAAGTTTGATCATTAATTTTGATGGCGAAATCACGATACTCTGCATTCATATTTTTTCGTTCATGGAAAATATTTTAAATGACGAGACTTTCCTTCATTTTATAACAGAAACTATGAAGTTTTGAGATTGTGAAAAAAAAAGTCAATAAATTATATAACTTTGACAAGTCACTTATTTCATCAAACTTTATTTCAATCGGCGAATTTTTTTTTTTTTTTTTTCTGATACTTTAGCAACCGTAGTTTAACCATGAAAAAATACACGAAAAATACATTATCTGTGTACCCAATAATAATGACGAGTGGATGGAGTAGGTTCTATTTTGTTTTCGATCAACGACTAATTGGAAGAAAGGCTTATTTTTTGACAAGATTATTGGATACATAGATGTTCTTGCTATATTTACCACACCAGATGTGAATTTTATTGTATCAGAGACCTATAATTCACGAGACATAGTGACGAAATTGCATAGGCCTTGTTTTTCATGTGAAATATGTCTGTGTAATGTAGTAAATTTATCACGAGATTCTTTCACGTCATACGTCAGTAAACAAGAAACTTTTATATAAATACGTATATATGGTTTAAATTTTGCTCTGGACTCATACGGTGAAAATTCAGTCCAACAATACACGCTGATTACTTTTTTAAAGATACAGACGAGACGCGCATGATTTCAAAAAGATTGAACATAGAAACTATAGGAAAGCGCTTGAGAATATTATTTTGGATTACAAAATCAGAGGAGGGTTGTGTTCAAACCCAAAAATGCCTTGATAACTTCGAAGTTATGTATTATATATCCATTATTATTATTTTTTTTAACAGAGATGGAAACCCTGAGTTACCAGCTGACTACGCCTTAGCTGGTAATAGTGAACTACGTCTTCCCTCGGGGAATAGACTACGCCTCTATTGCCATGTTGCAACTGGGAACTACGTCTTTCTGGTTGTTAGACTACGTCTCGTTTCATGGCATACATCTCTGGTTACAATGATAATTTAGAAGCTTTGATCTAATTAATTATATCAGTATATTCTTTATATAGTTCGAGAGATTGGGGATATATTTAATGTTCATGGTTGTTGGGAGTGGGAGGACGGCAAGATTATAATTTTTGAACTTCCGTCAGATCCGCACAATATTTGTAATGCAGCGATTGTTGCAGAAGTAATTAACGCTTGCCAAAATATTTTAAGGACTGATGCCCGTATATATAATCTTGGTTCAGCTCGTAAGTACGAGTTTATTATTTTTCTTTTTATTATATCGTTTCGGTCGTTCTGGAGAAGAAGCTGATGCTTCGTTTATCCCAAAAAAACTCCACTATTTGGGAAGGGATGAAAATGTATCATTCGTTCCTTTATTGATTTTGAACTCTTGAAAGCTGGGTATCTCATATTTTACTTTTTCTTCCAGAACAAACCTTGACCAAATATTATTATATTCCGAAACAGTACAGCATGTCATGAATAAAGTTCAAAATTACTGATTACTTCCTTATCGTGTTGGAAATGCGGAATTTAATCGTATCCACGATGTAATTGTCGTTAAAATCACCCCTGTTCTTCAGGGAGAAATTCCTAAGCATATGTATGAAAGTGAGTTACCTCTATATCATCAGAATTGAGTGAACAATTATCGTTTTAAGCTTTTTTCGTCCGTTCGAACTTTAATCGCTAATTTTTCTCTAAATTTTGATTATAGAGGTTTTCCCTTTAAGTATGATACTCAATCATTTTTTGTCTTTAATATTACTTAGTACCATTTTTGACATTTACCTATTAAAATAAAAAGTTTTATATGTAACAATTATCGACAATTATTTTCGATTTTATAATTATAATTATAGTAACCCCGTCCCAGTACATTTAATTCAGGTTGGGCTATAATGTGAACCCGTTATGTTCCATTAACAACCCTACGGAAATGTGATTATAAAGAGGCTAGACTGTATATTTGTATCATAATAATTAATTTTTATAATTATTTATAATAATGTAATTATTTAATTATTTTACAATTATGTAAATCTTTTTTAATTATATTATTAATTTATAAATATATTATAAAAGTTTCTATATATTAAACTTTATTTTTTATTAATAAAATATTAAAATTAATACTAAATAAAATTAAAGTTTAAAATAAATCTACTATATAAATTCAAATATATTGAATAAAAATTAAAGAAATAATGAAAAAATAATGACCAGTCAAATTTTAATTATTAAAATTTTAAGTATTTGAGTTTCTAATATAATATTTTTATCAATTTTTTAAATGAAAGGTTTAAACTTTTTACTGTTGATGTTATTTTTTCTTAGCTTAAAGTTTACTTATTTTTATTATTTACTTATTATAATTAAAAGTTTTATAAGTCATAAATAATTAATAATTATTTTTATTATTTTAAAATATTTTAATCAAAAATTATTTGAGAAAAGGTATCTTTTTGAAGTTAAAAACATGGAGATTCTAAATATGTACTTTATATTATATAAAGTCTGCAATTAATTGTGAAATTGCAAATTATATTACAATTCCATTTAAAAAATTTGTAATATTACTATTTAATAAAACTAATTAAAGATCCATCTTTACTTATATAAAAAATTTAAAATTATTAATAAAATTAAAAAAGTTTAATTTACAAGGTATTAATACTTTTAAAAGATTGAATTGAATTAAATTAAATATCAATTTTACAATACCTATTTATTAAACAATTATATTATTTATATAATACAAATTTCTACAAATTTTACTGGTTAAAAATTTGAAAAAATAGATAAACCTCTGAAAATTTATTATTATAAATTTGCAAAGATTTATAAAATATCCAGAAATTTATATATCATAAACCTCTGCAAATTTAAACTTTCCATAGATCAAATCAGGCAGAAATAGATAGCTGTTATCAAAGGTTTACCTTCTGGATGTTTCCAGAAATGTAAAACCTCAAATATTTACTACTGTAAACTTACCAAGGTTTATATTTTAAAAAATTTTCTATAGTCATAAATGTTTCGTCTTTTTTATTCATCTTTGAACTACAACTGATTAACTCTTTCCAATATATGACAGAAATTATAGCTCTATAAAATGTAACATATATAACAAACAATAATATGATCTGATTTATATATTTGGCTTTACCAATAAATTCTGACTCCCACAGGTAAGAATTTTTAAAAACAACTTGTGTATTTCCCCCCTCCCAAAAAAATGTAGGCTAATATTTTTTGGATGCTTATCAAAAATCAAAAACATACAAACCTCTGCAACGATTACAATCATTTTTTTTCATTTGTATCCAGTTTTGCTGACACAACAGGATTGTCACATCTTGGTTGTAGACAGAATGTAAATTTGGAAAGAACACTATTTCCATATAAAACACTTGATCATTTCAAATGCTTCTGCTATGTTTTTAACATCCAGTGGTGCACTCGTGTTGCGTTTGTAATCTCTTGAAGAATAAATTCTCTTGGAAAGTCGGTTGCTAGACAATATTTAAGTTATAAGTATTAGGTACACTATAAGTACTATAAGAACAACGTAGTTCATACCTTCAACATTAGATATTACATCGTTCTCGTTTCCACATCTCTTTCTAGAACTTAGTTGCCGAAGGAGGGAAGTAGATCGTGCCTGACTTATTTTCATTAGAAGAAAACTCATACGAGGCTTAGATTTTTTTTTTTTTTTTTGCGAAGTTAGGAAAAGATTCTTGGTCGGAGAGTACACGCGAAAAAAAATTTTTATATAATCGTCATCACAGTGACGACATAAATCTAATTTTAATTTGTAATGAATTTGATCCAATGAAAATTTCCGACGGACATATAAAGTAATATAGGCTTTTAATGAGTTCTGATCAATTTCCTTTGTTTCAATTCCAATTTACAAGGCGTTTTTTAAGAAACATATTTCGAAATGGCCAATCTAAATCCTCCGACTTACACAAATGGCATAAATGTACCTCATAGTATAGTAGGGATGCAAAATACACCTAGGATGCTGGTACAACCTCAGACATACACTAACTTACCTGTTGGCCTCGGATTTCCCACCAGAATGCCAGGCCAAATGCCAATGCCTTCTAATATAACGTAAGTATAAATTTGCTATGTACATTCAAATCAACGTTACTCTGTCATCATTCACACCCCGATTTTTTTTTTCCAGCGTTGGCCGAAGCATGATACCTTTCCTTCCGAGGCGAGTTCTACAGAATTATGCATTCTATTTGATTATATTTTAATCATAAGTTACTGGATTTTTAAATTTAGGGATCGAGAATTAATCAAAGAAATACAATTTTTTTGAATCTCTCTTCACAAAAATAATAGGCAGCCAGGACCTCTAGGAAGATGCACACTACGAATTTATATGTTCAGTGATCATCTATTGTGCGAGGTAGATAACTTAAAAGGATCTTAATGTATATCAAACAGAAGGATTTCACCATTATATAATCATTTTATTATATTTTATTATTTATTAGGATGAAGCAAAGAGATTCGATATAACTCACTGGAGACGTGTGGTGGAAGAATTTTTTTCAAGCGATGCAAAAATGAAATATGTAGCATTGAATCAAAATGACGGCACAAATAGAGCATTTGGTTAGTTTTTTTTAATTATGACCGCTTCCGTTAGTATTGATGCAACCAGTTAATTATACGTTCAGAGAACCTTGATCACTTATGTAATAGATAAATTGAAACCTTCAAAGATACCTTGATTTCATATTATCTAATACAGATGGATAAATAATTTTAAAGAATGTTAATATATTAGGTTGCATCAATACGAACGGGGACAGCCTATTTTATTGTTAGTTTTAAGGTAAATATTTTTTACTGATATAACGGATTATGTATGAATGGTATTTTAGAACTATTGTATCCCACTATTTCGAGATTTTTTCTAGTAAATTTCGAATCTGGGGTCACATCAATTGGATTTACAATTAATCATTCTAAAGAAATTCCTAATATTCATCAGAATATCCATCATGGATATATTTTAGATGGCAAAGCTTCATTTATATATAATTATTCAGACGAATCAAAGGTAGATTTATATTTTAAATTAAATTAAAAAAAATTTTTTTTTATATTATTATATTAATAAATTATATATCTTTAAATTTAGGTTATAGCAGAAGGAAAACTTAAAGTGAAATTTAATACACAACTCAAAATAGAGGTATTTGAATTCATCACAGATAAGCATTCAGAATATGTACCACGACATGTACCAGTTTTACCAGGGAGTACGATTTCTGAATTTGGCATACCGCAGAAAACTCGAAGATGCCTAGAGGTAAAATTCATGATAACAATATTTCAAGATTAATATCACAATATGTTAACTTCCACGAATTTTTTAGGTTGCCCAAGTCGTGTCATATCTAGACGATGTAATATCATTGACTTTCAGAATAAATAAAGGACCTTTATGTAATATTTCAGAAAAAATTATATTTCTTAAGAAAGTATGCATTAAAATTATTCCTGAGAAAAAATTATTTTTATTTTGTAGCTGCTTTAAATTTTATAGCGAATTCTGTTCAACAAGGTGTAGGAGGTGGATCAATGATGATGGCTCGATCCAACACTACTCCTCTTACTCCTGGTCCGTCACCACCAGAAACGACAGCCAAAACTCCTAAAGAAAAAGGGGCGGAAACCATTACCACTGATAACACCAATAACACAACTAACGAGTCTCCAGTTCCATCCCCTTCAACATCCAAAACGGAGTCACCAACTACAAAATCTTTGGTCAAATCACCGGTTCAAACTAGTAAGTTGTTTCATTGAATTTATAATAATTTCTACATTTGAAATTGTAACAATTAATTACGATTTTTCATAGATAAAAGGACAACACCCAATGATACCCCAAAACAAAAGCGACCGCGATTAAACAACAAACCCCCAAAAAAAGGTAACCGGCATGATACGGGTTCATGAAAGTGAAAGGATTGGCTGTAGATATATTAATCTTTTAAAATTATTTTGCGTCTCTTTTTTTTTTTTTTTTTTTAATTAAAAAACTTTATTCATATTGCATAATCCGTTTGTATTTAGTATTATCTATGTATTATTTTCATTCTTACTCAACAACGCTTCGAATATTTACTTTATTAGTAGAAACTGCAGTCATAGCAAAATAAATCCCATAAAAATTTAGTAATTTAATTTGCTTTGCAAATAATTGGGAATATTTCGACGTTAACATATTATTGCAGAACAATTTTCATTAATATATTTGATAGAGCATAAATATTTCTTGTTTTTTTATATTTGGTAAATAAAGAAACTTGTATAAATTTAATTTTTTCTTCGGTGGGTAGAATTATCTCTCAGCCACAAAACAAATAAATACATTCTCTTCACTTCACATTTGTAAGATTATATTTTGGGCTTTACCTGGTTAGTGTATTCATTTTAATATTTAATAATTTTTTATTAAGAATCAATTTACAAATTCAATATTCACTTATTAATAAATAATTATAATAACAAGAGAGATTAAAAAAAAAAAAAGATTGTGAAAATAAGTTTTATGTTAATTGTGAATATTTAATGATATATCGTTTAAGAAATCATTATAACGAAAAAACAAGAAAGCAAAATATCCGAGTATAACAACTTTTAAAAATATCTTTTACAGGAAGTAATAAGAGTTGATTTATTTAAAATTACATCAGATCAATAATTATTTTGTGGAAATGATGGGAGAATTATAGTGAAATCAGTACTACAACATAATTCATATTATTTATCAATAAAGAATATAAGGGATTTTTTTTTGAACATTATTCAACACAAGATCAAATGAAAAAAAAAAAAAAACTGGATAATGAACTTTTTACTTATCTGACTTGTTTCACAGGTCAAATACAAAAGATATGCCGTACCGAAAAGGAATTCCGATTTTGGCTGATCTATAATATAGGATGAGTCGATTTTTACCGATTTTTAGCTGATCTATAGTATAGGAATCACCATTCGGTACAGCGATTCTTTTGTATTTGACTAGTGTTTTAAGGTATTAGATCAAAGAACTGATTTATTTTCAAGAATTGTTTTGAATGACAAAAAACCAAGTTAATATTATTTTTAAGCGAATTCTTACAATAAGAATATAAAAAATGTTAACTTCAATATTTAAGATGTAAAAAACAATTAAGATATGTCATTGTGCTATCATTTATTAAAAACACCAATAGATTTTTTTTTGAAATCAGCATCTATTGAATTGTGAACTTTTTAACAGCAATTGCCATTTTGCCATAGATTCAAAATTCAACAATCTTTTTAACAGGTACAAAAATTGATCAAAGACAAATAAATAATATATTAAAAATGATCAATTTCTACTGTACAATATGAAGATTTGAAAAAATTTATAATAGTATGTTGAGCCTTTCATTTTTCCAATTCACACTTTTTTTTTCTAAATAAGCATTATTTGTCCACTTTGATTCTAGTTTATTTTGTATTTGTTTAAAAATTGAGTTTTCACTTATTAAATCAATTTTTTCATCCCATTTACTATCCTCATCATTTCCACTCTTCATCATTATTCCCATTCATTATTACACTCTTTTTAAACTTTATAAAATAAAAATTTTTTATAAAAATAAAAAAGTGAACTGATAAAATTGAAACCTAGATCTATCTTTTAAGGGGTGGTTCAATTAATTTTAACCTGGCTCAATAATTGCACCCTGGATAATTAATTTTGTTCTGGCTAAATTCTAGTTCAATTCAATTGTGCCAACTAAATTTTAACTCAATTCAACTATATCAAACTTCACTACAAATTTTAAAATTTTCATTCTCTCTCTTTCTCACAAAATAAAAACAAATATTCTTCCTTAAAAAAAATACTTTCTTTCTAAAAAAACAATCAGAATTTTCAATCTATTATAAAAATATCATAGTAAAAAATCATTCTTTATTATATAAAATCAATTTAAAACTAAATATAAAACCAATTACCTTTAGACTATAATAGTCTCAGGTGTGCGTGTATACCACAGAACTCAAGTTAATTGAGTAATATGTAAATTGCAGAACTCAAGTCAGTCAAGTAATGAGTTGATTACTAAACTCAAGTCACTTGAGTGATAGGTCAATCACAGAACTCAAGTCATTTAAGTGATGGTTAATTACAAAACTCAAGTCATTCAACTAGGTCACATGAAAAAAAAAGTACTTGACAATGTATTCAATCATATGTTGTCATTTGTAAGTTCAATATGAGGGTTATGTCCAAACTTGATACATAGTGCCTTTAGCTTTCTGGTTAATTCCTCTATAAGGGCTAGAGTTGAGACACGTAGTGTCAAATTGCTAACTGTTATAATGTACTCAAGTATTGATCAAGGATGAGATATGTAGTGCTAAATTATTAACATATCTGGTATACCTGCCACCCAAATTCAAAATCCAAATGCCAAAATCCCAAATGCCAAAATCCCAAATCCCAAATTATGATTAGTATTTTTTGCCAAAATTCCAAATCCCAAATACTAGTAATTTGGGATTTGGGTAACACGTATAATATTAACTGATCAAGAGAATCATTTTAAAAATAAGATAATAAAGGAATTGTGTAACAAATTTGTAATTCAATATAGATTATCATCACCTTATCATCCTCAAACAAATGGATAGTAAAAAGATTTAACAGAACACTGATAACTATATTAGTAAAAACAAATGATATATTTAATTGGGATTTATACATACCTTCTGTATTATTTGCTTACAGAACAATTAAACATAGTATAACTAAATATACTCTATTCTATTTAAATTGGGATGCAACTCTGTATTACCTCTGGAATTAGAAAACAAGTAAGAAGATAATGAAGAGATAAGCCTAAAAGATTCAATACTAAAAAGGATATATGAAATAGAAGAAATATTATTACAATATCAACAAAAAACCAGAGAACTAATCAGATTATCTCAAGAAAAATCACAAAAACAATATAAAGATAAGAAAATAAAAAAGGAAATCTGTTATTAGAAAAGAGATAAAGTATTACTGTATGACTCAAAGATTAGATAAACAGTGGTCAGGTAAACTTGATAAGAAATAGAAAGAACCATTCACAGTTAATAAAAGATTAGATAAAGAAAGTTATATCATATCAAATGAATTTGGAAATTTAAAAGAATCAATACATTCTGATAGATTAAAATTATTCAGGAGTAGAGAATCATGGAAACCATTGATAAGAATTTAAAAAAAAAAGTAAATAAGAAAAAAGATAAAACACATGGTAAAAATAATTTAATTAAAGTAACAAACAATAAATAAAGATAAGGGATGGCAAAGAACAGTTAATCAAAACAAATGGTAATAAGTTGCAACACAAGAATGCCAAAATTAACAAAAAGAGAATTATAAAAAGGATGAGAATTTGATCAAGATGAAAAACATATTTTCAATGAAGAAATTCCTAAAAAACAAAAGACCTGAAAACAAAAATCAAATCTTTAGAAAAATTCATTCAGAAAATAATAAATTAAGAAACCCAAACAAATCTTTATCAAAAAAAACCTTAAAATTAAAGAACAAAAATTATGAATTACAAAAAGAGATTCAAATCCTCAAACTACAACTTAGGATGGTATACTTCTGAACCCTGTAACAGATGTGAAGAAAGACCAATTTAACATTTCTGAACAACTACATCAGGAAATTTTTCGGGGCGTAAATTTCCGTAACACAAACAGGACTCACGGAAATTTATACCCAAAAATTTAATTTTTTTGACTTTGGTCGTAATTTACGAGACAGGAAGCGATTTTTTACTAAGGTGTTTCTATGACAGATCGAAAGCCCTGGTTCTTGGCTACAAGA